CCCTTCCTTTCTTCCTCTGGATTTCCTGCCCTTTCTCCCTCTTCCATCCAGGTTGATAACCTAACGTTTCCCATGTTCTTGATGAACTTTGCTTGTAGTTTCAGGGCATTTCACATTGTCATGTGCAGCAGTTTGGTAGGGGGCCACGTGTTAGTGGCAGAGGACTGACGCACATCTCCTCCCTTGTTGTCGTCAGTGCATTCCTGGACTGTTTAGAGCTTTCTCTCTGTTTTGTGGAAGGCACCATTCTAAGGGCAGGGTAGCACATGTCAAGATGTCCCCGCACTGTCAATGTTTGGGAAGTTTACTAAAATATATGGGGGAAAGGATGCTTCCTGATCAGTTTACCTTTTGCTCATCGGGGAAATGCAGTTCTGAAATATGTGGCCAAGATTCCTGTTCTGAGAGGCCACGAATGGCACTGGAGTCCCCTGCATGTGCCCTGACTTAGGGTGACTTAGCTGGAGCGAGGGGACCCCACTTGCTGGGAGCTGCTCTCCTGGCTGGGAAGTTACTTTTCCTATGCAAGCCTGGGTTCACATGGTCTGTGAAATATGGACAATAATCCAGCCTCGGAAGACAGATGAGCTAAGAACATGTGTTGTGGGACACGGTCCCCAGTGTCACAAGTGGCCAGAGGCAACGCTGGTAGCACTAATGATTTCCATTGTCAGGGGGCTCAGACTTTAGCTAGATCATCCTCTGGATGAGTTGGGGTCCAGGACTGAGAAGGGAGTGTCCCTGGCCTCTGTGGCTTGTGGCCATAGCAGGAAGACAAGTAAGTAGCCTGTTCACCCTTGCAAAAGACAAAACTGGGATAAGCGCTCACAATGCACCTGAATGCCAGGGGTTTTCAGAGGTGGGAGAGTTGGTAACAAAAAGAGACACTTTTCTGAGGGTCTCTCCACCTCGAGCTCCTTGAGTTCACCATCCCCACCGTAGGAGGCCTGTTCACTGTTAACCCCATCTCATACACAGTGCAACAGTCTCAGAGATGTTTAGCAACTTTTGCCAGGTCACGCAGCAAACAGGTGGCAGCGCCTAGCACTTGAACACCAAAGCCCGTGCCCTCCCCGCCGGGTCATGCCAGAATTCCCTTTCCTCCGGCCTCACCCCAGTCCACCCTCCCGCTCTCCAAAGCCCAGCCTCCCTTCGGGGTCCCTTCTGGCTTATTTCCCCACCTTCCCACCAGGCTGTGGAATGGTTCGGGAGACTGCCAAGTGGAGGCAGAAGGAATCCTTTAGAAGCTGAGCGTGGTGGTGGTGCACTCCTGTAATCCCAGCACTCTGGGAGTCGGAGGCAGGAAAATCTCAAGCTTGAACCTACCGTGGGAAGCTTAGACTGTGTCTGAAAAAAGAAGGAAAAAGGCTGGGGTGGAGCTTAGTGTGAAAGCCCTAGGTTTGATCCCCAGTGCTGGATGGGGCGGGGGGGGGGGGCTTGGGACAGAGGAGCCATAGAGGTGGGAATGCGGGGCCCAAGTCTTGAAGGGAGACCAGGGTCCAGATCTGCCTGCAGCGCAGTGTGGATGGCCTGCCGGGCCTTCTCTTACCGCTCTGGGAGCACAGAGGCTGGGACTTAGTCACTGTTAACTCTGAGAGGTATCACCAGCGGTTTGGTACATAGCTTAGGATGGACTTGCCAAGGAGATGTGAACTCAAAACTAAGACAGTATCCCAGGACAAATGCCCAGCCATTCAAAGTAGAGCAGAGAAGGCTACCATCCTGGACCCAGGTAGTGAGTGTGAAGGCTGGAGGATTATTCTTCACAGACAGATAGAGAACGAGAAAGAAGCTGCGATCCTGGGCCAGGGACCTGTGCCCTCTCTCTGCCCGTGGTGGAATTGGAGTCCTAAGGGCCCCCTCACCCAGGGGCTGGGCTGGAGCCACCCTAGGGCTGGGGCGGGAGTGTAGCCACCCAGCCCACCGGTATAGAATGGGAATGCATGGGTGTCAGGATAGTATTGGGTGTACAGGGAATGTGGAAATTCTTTTGTCTGGGGACTTAGAGAACCGATGAATGCAGTGAGGCCTGAGGGTTATAATGTGGGCTCTGGCATTAGCAACATGGAATACCTACATCATTAGTACTTTTACTGTGTGATTTTTAGGCAACTTTATTTTCCCCTCTATGCCTCAGTCTCCCTGGGTAAAACTGAGACTGTGAGCCGCTACTTATTGCTGATGCTGATAAAACTTAAAGGCACCTACAGAACACTTTAGTTCCACACTTGGCACCTAGTAAGGGCTCAATAAGTTTTGTCACTTGCTACTATTATTAGCACCATTACAATTTAATTGGGGAAATAGGTTTAAGAACATCGAAGAAGAAGTAATTCGGTAACCTCATATGGAATGTGTTAAATTTACAGTACATTTTAGAGCACACTAGAATGTTAGAATGTACTTAAATGTAAACTCCATGAGGTTGAAGACTTCAATTTATTTATTGTCATATTCCCTGTGCAAATGAGTTTACCCAGCACACAGTGGTACCCAAGAAATACTTGTTAAGCAAACACTTCCAAAGCCAAGCTTTCCCTGCCCCCTGGCCTTTGCACATGCGATTCCTGCTCCCTGACATGCTTTTCCCCAGCTTCATGTAGTAAGTTTCTTCCTCTTTAGATCACTTCTTCCAAAAGTTCTTAGCTGACCACTACTTCACATCTCATCATCATGATCTCAATTAGGTCAAGGTCAGTGTTTGTACTTCTCATTGAAACCCTTTGCCCTTTTCCTTATAAGAAGTCACCATTACATATTTATATTTATTTGTTCAATCTCTGCCTCTGTCACTGACTAGGAACTCCAGGAGGGCTGGGAATCAGTGTTCCCAGCCCCTCCGTGGGGCCTGGCAAGTAGTAGGCACGGAGTGCGCTCTGCTCAGATGGATGTCCCAGGATATTTACAGGGACACCTGGGCCTGGAAGGTGGGACAGGGCCGGGTCAGTTTAGCTTCTGCTTATCTGGAAAAGGACTGAAGAGCACGCCTTTACCCTCCTATACTCCTTGACCAGAGGGAGCCTAGGATCTGACAAGTGTGTTGTCGTCCATGAATGCGTCCTTGTTCATTCATTTACTCATTGAGTCCTGAGGAGCACCTGCCCCATGCCCTGCTGCAGGGTCTCCATGCTGCGTGTTGCTTGCCACTGCCACAGCACAGAGTGATTTCCTCCTGGGTGCTCTCTCTGGTGCCTGGGACTTCGCCGGAGGAAGTCAGTATGTGTGTGAAGAGTGACCAAGCAAACCAAGGGCCCACCGGGTGGCTGGGTTTGGAGATGCAGAATTTGTAACGGGAGCAGGGATTGGCACGGATCGAGCTGCTTGTCAGTCTGTTGCTTTTGCTCCCTTCGGCCATGGTGTCTGCGGAGGGAAGCATTTGCACACTGTCGCAGGACATGCATTAGGCCAGGTTCTTGCCAGGTGGTCATGGTCACGTTCTCTCCTCACTGGTGCTGCCCCCTCTTGGTAGCAAGCATGGCCCTAGCTTCCCAGAAGTGTTGCTGCCTCCCGCCCCACTGTGCCTTGTTCCTTCTCCTCCTGGTTTCCTCCCGCCGGCCTCTGCCTTTTAGGGAGCCTCCAGAATATTCAGGTCCAGTCCCTTCTGCGGCTTTCAGTGTAGCCATCATTAGCCTCACTCTTCTGTCCCCTCCTGGGTTCCTTGGCCAGCAGGTCAGGGGCCTCCCGAAGGAAGCTGGTTAATGATGTCCCTTGTCTGAAGAGCTGCCCCGTGGGGAGCAAAGCAGGGGCATATAAATGAGGCTGGATGGGAGCAAACTCGATGGCTTTTTGAGGGTTTGTTCCCTCTCAGCCGGGCTCCCCTGGGCTCCCCTGATTTAGTGGAGTCAGCAGCTGTTCCTGCTTGCCTGCTTGCTTGGTGTGTACGGCTGAGGCGCTGTGCTGGATCCAGAGATCCTTGCTGCTGGAGGAGGGATGGGAGGCAGCAGAACAAAGGGAAGCTGCAAGGCTGGATGCTGGCTGGGAGCTGTGCTGCTGAGCGCCAGCTGCCAGCTTGGAGGAGAGCTAGTGGCCGAGTTCCCGCCACATTTCACCCGTTCTGCCCATTCTCCTGCCCAGGGCTCCTTCCCTCTTCCTTCCTGGCTCCTTTGATCCCCCCGCACACACTCTCTTCTAAGGATCTGTTTATATTCTTTGCTTTCCTTTGGGAAAAAAAAATCAGACTTTCTAACAAGGTAATCAGTTCGAGCACCCAAACTTTTGAAAAGCGCTTGCCTCGTGTTTCCCCTTAGTATACATCCTGGCATCTTTGCCTTTGGGGTTGGGAGCTCGCCAGCCTGGGATTTGGGGAGGATTAACTGAAGGACTTTTGTCCACAGACTGATGCTGAGAAGCACTCGCAGGTGGAGAGGAATTCCCTGTGGTCTGGCGATGATGTCAAGAAATCCGACGGAGGGTCAGACAGCGGCATAAAGATGGAGCCAGGGGCCAAGTGGAGGCGGAACCCCTCTGATGTGTCGGATGAGTCAGACAAGAGCACATCAGGCAAGAAGCATCCGGTCATCTCGCAGACAGGCTCATGGCGGCGGGGCATGACGGCACAAGTGGGCATCACTGTGCCTCGGACGAAGCCATCCGCCCCAGCAAGTGCGCTGAAGACCCCAGGAACGGGTGAGTTGAGAGCAAAACCACAGTAACATGAGCAAGGGCTTGACATTGTTGATTTCTTCCTTGGGTCTAATCTCTGCTAGCAATCGGTTTGCATGAGGGTTTACATCCCTCCCTTTTTCTGAGCGGAAACACATAAGCATGCAGCTTCACAGGCAGGTCAACCATGGGATGTGCTAGTCGGCTTAGCTGTTCACTGGGCTGGTTTAACCGCATGCTGGGTGACAGTGACCACACGCAGTGGGATGTTGCTGTGCTGAGTGTTGGCTGTGATTTAGGAGCTGAGTGTAAAGGGCAGGACAACTCCCTGGAAATGTTAGGGACAGCCTTGTAATGGACAGAGGGTAAAAAGTCAGTAAAAAGCAGAGTTTGTTTTTGCCCACAAGCACATCAGGAAAAATTGTCTGGCATTGCTTTATCCTGGGTAAATTTAGATTGCTTTGCAAATGAGGAAAATCACTGACACCTCCTAAAAGGCTTCCTGTGACAGCAGCAGACTAGATTATCTTTATAAAGAGCTCTTTCCCAGCCTCCCCAGGGTACTGCCTCCCCTCCCCCTTAGGAAAAAGTGAGCCTGTTCACCGGGGAGGGGAGAATCTTAGCCGACCTGGAGGGGTTGGGTTCTTGATTTGCAAATAACCTAGCTGATTTCTCACTCAGGAAAAACAGATGATGCAAAGGTGTCTGAGAAGGGAAGGCTTTCGCCCAAAGCCTCCCAGGTGAAGCGGTCCCCATCTGATGCAGGCCGCAGCAGCGGTGACGAATCCAAAAAGCCCCTACCCAGCAGCTCCAGGACACCCACCGCCAATGCCAACAGCTTTGGGTTCAAGAAGCAGAGTGGCTCAGTGGCCGGGCTGGCCATGATTACAGCCAGCGGGGCCACTGTCACTAGCAGATCAGCCACACTGGGCAAGATCCCAAAGTCATCCGCGCTCGTGGGCAGGTCCAGTGGTCGGAAGACAAGCATGGATGGGACTCAGAATCAGGACGATGGCTATCTGTCTCTCAGCTCCCGGACAAACTTGCAGTACCGGAGTCTGCCGAGGCCCAGTAAGTCCAACAGCAGAAACGGGGCTGGGAACAGGTCTAGCACCAGCAGCATCGATTCCAACATCAGCAGCAAGTCAGCGGGCCTGCCCGTGCCCAAGCTGCGGGAGCCTTCAAAAACAGCCCTGGGCAGCTCTCTGCCAGGCCTGGTCAACCAGACTGATAAGGAGAAGGGTATCTCCTCGGACAATGAGAGTGTGGCTTCCTGTAACTCCGTGAAAGTGAACCCAGCTGCCCAGCCTGTGTCGAGCTCAGCCCAAGCAGCCCTGCAGCCTGGGGCCAAGTACCCAGATGTGGCCTCTCCCACCCTCCGCAGGTGAGTGGGTGTCAGGTAAAAGGGCCGTAAAGCAAGACCAGACCAGGCCACAACAAGCCTTTATTAGGGGAATAGATCTGCCGGGCTGTCTCTGAACAACAGAGAGACAAAAGCAATATGGCCAGGGCAGGGAGAGTCTTTTATAGAGACGGGTGGGGTTTGTAGGAGCTGAGGTGGGGTTGAGTGAGGTAGCGACTAGGGAATGGAGGAGCCGGTGACGTCACTAGGTGGTAGGAGGTGAGCGAGTATTAGGTTACTCTCTAGGCGGGACCAGGGGCATGCTGGGAAGAAGGGTTTGTTCCTTGGTGGGAGCAACCATCTTGGCATGACGTCACACAGGGGAGGGGGCAAGGCACCATAGGAAGAGGGCAGCTACTATACATAATAGCTGCTGAGGTGGTGGGAGACCTATCAGTGGGTAAATAAATGGTACAGTGTGGAGCTGGGATGTGAGGAAGGACATCCTGGAGGAAGTATCCTGTTTCTTAGTGGAGCCAACCTCTGTTTTTCCTGGGTATCAGTCATGGGTATTGCTGCTCTGTCGGCAGTTTTGTAATTGACAGGTTATTTTTCCATGTTGGAATGAAAAACAAAGGTCTCTGGAATTAACCATCCTGAGTTCAGATCCCAAGTCCTTCATTACCTGCCATGTGACCTTTCTTAACAATTCTGCCTCTGTTTCTCCTCTGTAAGGTGGGCATGATGATATTTTTCTGCGGGGTCTTATAAAAGTTAACCTTTCCAGCCCTGTCTGGCCTGTAAACACTTGGTAAAATTTAGCTACCGTGCAAGATGAGGTCTTGATATCCTCTCAGATCAGGACAAGGAGCTCATGGAAGCAGGCCTTTTCTCCTGCTTCTGTTGGTCAGTCTGTGGCTAAGCTGCCTCATTATGGTGGACTGTAATCCATTTCACAACCCCCCCCATACACTTTTTTTCTACGACATATGTATTTCCAAATTAGTCTCTGAAATTTTAGCTTAAAAAAACCTCTTAGAGTTTTTAGCAAAACTGCCTTGTGAAGGGAGAAATTGATTGATTTCCTATTACCCTAAAAAGGCATTGTTTTCCCACATTGACACAGGTGGTGGGATTTCCTAATGTGGAAATACGATTCTCTGGTTTTTCAGTTTCTTCTCAATGCTGCTTGATCTTGTTACCTCCTTATCCTTTGAACCATTCCCCCATTGCAGCCGAGTAGGGTAGAGGCTGTCCAGCCTTCCCAGGACATTTCTTATGCTAAGTCCCAGGGATAGAATATTAAGCAGTGAAAACATAAAAACTATGTGCACACGCGTATTCTGGGGGGGAGCAGGGATGTTTGAAAAGACTTCAGAAGAAGCATTCCACATGAAAGATATAATGAAGCTGTTCACTGTTCTTGCCCAGACTTGATTATTAGGATTTCAGTAATGATTTCTTAACAGATTGAAAAGAGAAATGAAAATTTGCTCTGCTTCTTGCCTCAAGTCCTTTAGTAAGTCCTTTAGTAACAACAAAGGCACTTCCCTGAACCCCGAGGCTAGGGCCTGGGGTATGTGAAAAATGCATGCAGCTCCTTAGGCCCGGTCCAAACACCTCTCCAGCAATTGTGGGTTCATCTGAGTGCGTGCAGTATGGAGAAAAGAGCACTTAGGTAAAGTGATGCAGATAACTTCCTGATTTGAAGGGATGACTGACACACAAAAGGTTGGACTTATTTTTGTGCAGTTAAATGAAGCAGGATGAGGAGCAGTTGCATCAGAGTCAGAAAGAGATGGGTCATCCTTTGGCTTTCTGACAATTAAAAAAGATTGGCAATGGAGCAAGTTACGCTTTAGTAGTGAGGCCCCTGTCACTGAGAGTATGCAAATATTCAAATCCAACATTCTACAACAGGATATTTTATTCCTGGGTTGTCAGCAGGAGAAGAGTATTTCTTCTCTGTCACCACACACTCCAGTGAGGATCGACTGATTGGTTATATATTTGCTTGTTTACGCTCATTAGATTTGTGCGACTATTCGGAGACAATGGAGGGAAACTTGGATAGCCTAGAGAATCTGGGTGAAAGGCAGTATATCTATCATAACAGCAGTTTTATCACTCGGGTATTTATTTCATCCTCTACTTCTGGTGGGTGGAATAATGCCCTCGTGTTACTAGAACAGGGTCCACCCACCAACTTTAAGCCAGTTTCACCATTCCACTGGGGAGCATCCATTGAGTCATTCCCTGTCCCATCCCGAGGGCACATTTTGGGTCATGAGGAGAGGGAAGGTTAAGCGATGTGGCATTTCTGTGTGTCTGTTGCAGAGACGTGGTTGGCACCCAGTGTGTCTGGTCTAATGTCTTGTGAACCCAGCAACCTTTCCCTGTGGGTCATTGGCACATACAAGCTCTCTGGCTCTGAAAAGGCAGCCTCCAGGTTGGCCTGTCTCCCGCCTGTGGGGATGCCTCTCCTGCACTCCATTCACATAGGGATTCATGATCCCTATTGCTTGAGTTGTGTTTCAAGATCATAGAAACCAAATCTCTTGGAATTAAGAGGCCTCCAACTGAGTATCTGCTTTGTGTCTGCCTGGTGTCATGGGCATGGAGATGACTTAGACAGCTCTTCAGATGTTTCCTGGGCCAGGGCTATTTCTAGGTAGTTGATTTCCAGAAAGAAAGGGAAACAAGATCTTGGACCAGTGTGGAGAGGTCTGTAGGAAACTATTCTCCATCACCCTTTGCCTCGGAGAGAGCCAGGTCTCAGTGGCAGCCTAGAAGATGGCACCTGTGTCCAGGCCCACTTCCTGGGCATCCCTTCCCCACGGAGCCCCTTCAGCCATCTCAGTGGGGAGGACTGTGCCCACCTTCCTTTAACAGCCGGGCCGCCCTTGGCCCTGGTGTTCATCCCACACAACCCTTTGTGTCTTCACAGACTCTTTGGTGGGAAGCCTACCAAGCAAGTGCCCATCGCCACCGCTGAAAACATGAAAAATTCGGTGGTCATCTCCAACCCTCATGCCACCATGACCCAGCAAGGTAACTTAGACTCCCCCTCAGGTAGTGGCATCCTGAGCAGTGGGAGCAGCAGCCCTCTCTACAGTAAGAACGTGGACCTCAACCAGTCTCCTCTAGCCTCCAGCCCCAGCTCGGCCCACTCGGGCCCTTCCAACAGCCTCACGTGGGGCACCACAGCCAGCAGCTCCTCGGCGGTCAGCAAGGACGGCCTGGGCTTCCAGTCAGTCAGCAGCCTGCACACCAGCTGCGAGTCCATTGACATCTCCCTTGGTAGCGGAGGGGGGCTGAGCCACAACTCCTCCACTGGCCTCCTCAGCTCCTCCAAGGATGACTCCCTGCCGCCCTTTGTGCGAACCAACAGTGTGAAGACCACACTGTCGGAAAGGTTGGTGCTGGGCCCCTGGAAGACGCCCTTCCCGGAGTGCGAAGATGAGGCTAGGGGTCGCAGATGCTCACACGCCCTCCCCTTTCCCGGGGAAGCCAGTTGGGGGTGGAATTCAGCTTGGCTCTGCTTCCCATTATCATTTCCTTGTGGTTATTCTTGGTGCTTGGAGCTGCTGGAAGTCTCTCGGGGGCAGATCTGTGCTACCACTTGAAATGGCATTCAGCCTTTGAAACCCTTCTGTTGTATTCTGTTTCTCCATCGGCTCCTTCTGTCCCCTCCCCTCGCAAAAGTGCGCAGAACTGGAAGGCATGCTCAGAGCCCTGGAGTCTACTGTAGAAGTTTCTGCACACAGAGGAGAAAGGCAGGATGTTGGGATTACTGTGAACACCTGTGCCTCTCCTTTCTTTAGTCTAATATTCCTTCTCTTGTTTTCTACCTGCCTGGACTTCTAGCCCTCTCTCTTCCCCTGCTGCTAGCCCTAAGTTCTGCAGAAGTACTCTGCCCAGGAAACAGGACAGGTAATGACACTGTAGACCGGGGGCCTTCCCAGCCTCTGGGTTCCTCTGCCCATCCGTTGTCAAGCCAGCTGTTTTGTGCGAGGCTGTTGGCCTGAGGCTTCCGCTTGTGTCTGTGGCTCTAGTGTATTCTGTGACCCCCCCCCGCCAGACATGCCAGTGGGGAGTTGTTCTGCTGTCCACGAAAGCCCAGGGAGAGGTGGGGTGGGCTGGCCCCTTCCTTTGGCTTGGGAAGGCCACCCCATCTCCATGTCTTGCTCCGGGCTGGCAGAAGCTCTCACTTGCATCTCCTGTGGCCTCCTGTGGCCTCCTGTGGCCTCCTGTGGCCTCCTGTGGCATGTTCCTGCCTTCCAGCTTCCTGCCCTTTCCTCCCCGCCCCAGCCAGAAACGTCTGCCACCCACTGTGCAGCCCTCCCCCCTCCTCTGTCTCCCCCTCCCGAAACAGCTGGCTCTTCTCCCTTTCAAACGCCTTTCTTGCAATTCAGCTCGTCACGTCTTGCAGACTTCTGTGTTTTGTGTGCCCGTCTCCTGTGATGATCATGAGAAACACAATGTGTGGAGTGTGGAGATTTCACAAACCAACAAGCTTGTGTTTGCCCCCAGCTGTGGGTGGGCCTCAGAGATGGATGCTGACCTTAAATTTGTGGCGGGAGCCATAGCCTGGCCAAACATAACAAGCAGATGTTGTTTCATCCCAGAAAACAAAGTTAATGGAAACCCTCTCCACCCCATCAACAGCAAAAACTGTGTCAGACTAACAAACTAAGCCTTGAAACCCTTGTTCTTTACAAATCTGGATGCCTTGACACTATCAGCCAACAAGTGGTAACATGCCTGACCCCAGCCCAGGGCTGAGCTCCTAGCTACGCCTTTGCTGGGCAGAAACAAGGAGAAATTGAGAGGGACCTGGAATTCACTTGTTACAGATGAATTCCAAGTATGCAGACTGCTGGCCTCTTAAAATCCTCCAACGAATCCCTTTTCCCCTTTGAAGCTGTTGCCAGTGGCATTTGGGGTGGGCCAGAGCTAGGGGTGCAGGGAGCCTGGCATCCCCTCTCTTCAAGGAGCCCTGGAGGGGGTGCAGAGGCGTGCGGCCTCAGTTTGGCTTTGAACCTGTGGAAAAGGAAGAATATTTGGGGTTGAGCGATTCAGGCCACCTGGTGACTTGGGGTAAAGTATGTGCTGGCGTCCGCTCAGGGCAAGGCTGGGGTTCTTTCTGTCTGTGCTCCTGGGTGTGGACATGTTGCATGCCTAGCTAGGTAAGAGGGCCATCCCCGGTGACGGGAGTCTCTTTCTTGGGAGCTCCCCAGCCTTCTCCCCTTCCGTTCCCTGATTCCCTGGCGCGCGCTTCCCTGAAGTTCTTGTTTTTGTTTTCACTTTCCTACAGTGACCCGCACCTTGATAGGAACACTTTGCCTAAGAAAGGACTCAGGTATCGTCTCCTCCCTGCACCCACGCCACCTGTTGTGGCCTTGGAGCTTGGCTGTGTGGCTCTCATGGCTGATGGGGGTCTGGGCTGGGCTGGGGTCCCGCTTTGGCCACTGCAGAAAGATTCTGGATGACAGCTCCCTTCTCTTTCTCATCTCTCCATTTGTGGCTTATTTGCTTGAGCAGGGGCTGCGCTTTTTCAGGCTTGGTATGATAAAACCATCTCATGAGAAACATCTCCAGGCAAGCCCAGAGAACAGTCATGGCTGCTGCCCGGGGCTGGGGCTCTCCTCTCTGAGCATATTCACTGTGACCATTCTGTTCACGTGGCTGGCTTCCCACACAGAGGGCGCGACTTGCAGCATGCTGATTTGTTAGCCAGGAGGAGAGGAATCTCTTCTCCAACTTAAATATATCTGGCTTTTTGGATATCTTGCACTTGTCTAAATATTCTTCACATTGACCTTCGGGTCGACTTCCTCGCAGTCATAGGAAGTCATGACTTGGGCTCAGTTTTGGTGCTCATACTGGGGAAACAGAATGCTCTAAGTCACCACTGTGCACACCCCCCACATCACATTGCCACCCGGAGGAACCTTGGTTTGCTAATGCTCACTGTGGTCTGACTGTCGTATGGTCGCTGTTGTCATTTTTCCTGCTTTCTAAACACCTCGTTCTCTGTAGCATTGGCTTCACCCTGCACTAAGCATTAAGTGCTTCCGTGTAAAATGGAACTTGGAATGAAATGTTTCGTTGCTGTCATGTGTGTCTGTGGTTAATAACCCATACCTCTTAAGACTGAGAGCGTTTTGAACAGTAACTTGAGGTAGGTATCAATGCTTCCTTTCAGCAGAAGCTCTGAATAAAACCAACTCTGAAAACCTAAGAAGAAAAATGTAAAATTTGCTAGCCGGGATCTCGTAAGAGGGAGTTCAACACTGTGGCCTTCAAGTTGGCCAGGTCTTTTGTACCTGAGAGTTTGTTTCATAGCCAGGTGTGGTGGTGCCCAGCTATAGTAATCCCAGCACTCCGGAGGCTGAGGCAGGAGGGTCATGAGCTCAAGGCAGCCTGGACTCTACGTAATAAGACCCTGTCTCAAAAAGACAGCAACCAGAATTACAAAGAGTTTGCCTTGTGCTTCTGAGGGCAGCTTGTCAGATGACAAATACTTAAATGACGTTATGTGATGCCACTCCTAATACAGGTTTGATATTGCCCAGTTGCCTCAAAAGGAAGATAGGTTTTTAGTATTGATATTGGGATGATGTATGGATTTCTTTCTCTAGCAAAGCTATCAAAATTATGTAGCTCTGGCTTTTTAAAATTGGTTTTTAAAAAGTTTAGAGGGCCGGGGATTTAGCTCAGTGGTTCTGGCGCCTGCCTAGCAAGCTCAAGGTCCCAAGTTCGATCCCCGGTACCCACCCCCCAAAAAAACGTTTAGAATAGGGATCTGTGACATCCACCAGATTTTCAGCCAATGGATATGCCCAAAAAAGTTCCATGTCTATCAGCGCTAGTGAAAATGGAAGAAACATTTGTACGTTCCCTGTCACTGTAACTCTGTCTAGCTCACTCCACACCCACATATCCAAAAACTATACACTGACAAGACCTTTTTTAAGCCAAAGAAATCCTTCTAGTGTCCACAGTATGTAGTCAAAGGGTCCTCTGGCCATTTGGGCACCTCAGAAATTCCAGATACTGCCTGTGGCATTGTGAAAGAGTATCAGTTTTGGAATCAGATAATCATAGCCTGCAACCTCAGCTCTGAATGCAGAACTGGGTGCCGCCTTCCCCAGAATGTCATGTGGATGTAATTGCATCTGCCTTGCTGAGTGAGTCTGGGGCTGGGTGAGATGATTCCCAGCAAGCACAGGCACTTTGTAGGTGTGTGATAAATCATCACCTAGTGCATGTCCTAGTACCCGAGGAGGTGTGGACCACCTGGCTTCTAAAGATCCCTCCTGTTGTGCTCGCTTCGGCAGCACATATACTGAAGATCCCTCATGCAAAGCCCAGTGGTGCTGGGTTCCTTTCCTAAAGACCTGTTTGTGCTTGATTGTGGTAACCGCTGTGAGCACCAGTGTCCCCCGATGTCCCTTCTCATGTCTGCGCTCTACTACGCTGCTACTCACGGCCACTTGCCCATGCTGTAGAATGCAGATGCCAGGAGTGACCTCATCAAAACTTCCTTGAAGCTCTAACAGCAGCTCTTTCTGTTGCTGCACTGCCATTAGGGTGGGGGCTTTGACATGGCACCATCCTGAATGAACATGTTATGGCTACATCCAGCGGCGGCTCTTCTGAGCACTTTACCCATCTTCCTCCCCTTAGGTCTTCCCTCCAAACTGAAAGGAATTAGGACTTCCCCCCCTAAAATGCAGCCAAGGAACAAACAAACAAACAAAAGATTTGAGAAACTTTGTAAGTTTCAGGGCGTGTAGCGATGTGATTTTCTAAGATCATCTTTAGGTATATATTTTCTTTCTATGTCTGTGTCATTTGCTCCATGGAACTGGTTGTCCCACATGTCAGTCTCAGTTCACTGCAGCCTGGTCTCTGTGTGTCCAGGTACCCCCCCACCTCCCAGCTGCGCACGCAGGAAGACGCAAAAGAATGGTTAAGGTCCCACTCTGCTGGAGGTCTCCAGGACACCGCTGCCAATTCCCCCTTTTCCTCCGGCTCCAGTGTAACCTCTCCCTCTGGAACAAGATTCAACTTCTCCCAGCTTGGTGAGTAGCCACTGTATCAGTTCCCTGGGCCAGAGGTTATCTTGTGTTTGGAAATAAAGGTGATCAGAGAGACCTCTCGTCACATCTCTGTGGGATCGGACCAGTGCTCAGCAGTGGAGCTTTATTCTAGCAGATCGGTAGTCCAAGAAATAGAGAAAGTAGCAAAGGTTTTGGTTCTGTAATAATTTTCTCTGTGTGGTTGGCATAGGGAAGGTTATAGCAAGGAATAAAACATCCTGTTCTCTTGAGGAGAATGCATTCTGTGTCTCAGACCTCAGAAGTAAGTTTTGCAGCATATCCCATGCTTTATTAAGCATCCTCCTGGCTTTAGGCAGCTGGAAATAGAAGTGAAGTTTTGACTGAGCAATATTCCTGGAAATGTGTGCTACTAACATGATGCTTTGAATCTGAAAAACAGTCCTTACCTACTCCAGTGGATTCACATTGAAGGTGAAAAACACTTGCAGACCTGTAAAACGGGGTAAAATAGGACAGTCCAAAGCTTCCAAGGAAACAGTGTGATAATGGAATAAGCCAATAGTTAACAATAAGGAAGATTGGTGCTGGCTGGCATTATTGGCAGAGGTGCTGTGAAGGATAGAAAAGGAAGATCTCTTGCAGTCTCGCCTTTAAAGCTGTAGCCTTTTGTGAACATTATGAGTAATATATTCAGTCTCTGAGGACAGTTGTGGCTTATAATCAAGTGAGGCTGAGCTCTTCATTTTTGATGAACAAGGTGGGTATTTCCAGAAATTAGTGTATTACCAACATAGTATGTGGTGAGAAAGTGGTTTCGGCTCAGGTGCATGCACCTCTTTGCCTGGAAGCTCTTTTCGAATTGTTGTTGAAGCTTCCTGGCTGAGGCAGTGAGACCTGTGTGCACCTTGTTCTTTCCCAGCCGTAACTCTTTGCAGCAAGAGATTCCTGTCACGCACAAATGCTTCCCATCTGATCAAAAGGCTGGTTGGACTATTTTGGGCTTTTGGCTTTGGAGAGAGTTGTTCCAGATGAGCCCGGGGAGTCATTAGCTCATGCCTGGAAGGTGACACTGGCTTGTCTGGACGTGCCAAGCTGGAACGCCGAGGCCCGGAGCCTGGTTGGGAGCTGACCCGCCTTCCTTCCCTCCCATATTTTTAGCTCCAAGTGTGTAACTCAAATGCTGATGCGACTACCTCTGAGCGAACAGACAGGGAGAGGAGTTGGCAGGAATGCGTACGGCTGGAGATAAGCAGTCTCCTCTTTGTCCCCATCTGGGATCTGAACGGAGACCCACATTTCCACCATTTGATTCCCTTTCTTTCCTTCCAGCGAGTCCCACCACTGTCACCCAGATGAGCTTGTCCAACCCCACCATGCTGCGGACCCACAGCCTGTCCAATGCGGATGGGCAGTACGACCCATACACCGACAGCCGCTTCCGGAACAGCTCCATGTCCCTGGATGAGAAGAGCAGAACCGTGAGCCGGTCGGGCTCCTTCCGGGATGGCTTTGAAGAAGGTAAGGAAGGGGACCCGCCGTCGCCTAGGCAACACGGCTCACGCTCCTCTAACTACACTTTGTTGACCTGAGACGCTACCAGTGAGGGTCTCCCTGTCTCCCTGTCCTCTGGCTGTCAGTTGGTCTGGCCCTTAGCTGACCTGCCAGGACATGGGTCACAGCTTCTTGGTGAGGCTTGGCCACTAGCTTCCACCTGGCAGCGGGCGTTTTTGGAGAGTTTAGTCCCTGGGCTGACTGGCTGTGCTGCTTACTGCAGCATTTTCTCTCTTCCCAAGCGCCAGTGTTTGTTTATTTCTTTGTTTGGTGGATTAGTTAGTTTGGATTTTTTGAGACAGAGTCTTACTGAAGCCTAGGATGGCCTTGAACTCACTATGTAGCTCAGGCTGGCCTTGAACTTCCAGTAATCTTCCTCCCTCAGCACCCTGAGTGCTGGGGTTATAGGAATGCGCTACCGCACTCCACTGTGCATTCACTTTTGCCTTTTTCTTTCTTTGGTTGCCAACTGGGAATATCTTGGGTTGGATTTTTAGGTTTTATTCATTGATAATTTTACTCATGATCAGAATTATGGGAGAAAATTTCTGTGGGCTGCTTTGTCAGCCCCCTTCATAACTTTACTCCTTCCGCCAAGGTGTGAGTGAGAATAAGCCATCAAAATGCTGTAGGGGAACATCACCCCCAACCCCACAAAGATCAGGCTCATAGGACATTGAAAGCATCCTCCCTGGCTGGGAATTAAGAACCCGGAGTCAGACTAGCAGAGTTTGAATTCCAGCTCTGTGACTCCATAGATATATGATCTTGGACAAGTTTCTTCATCTCTCTGAGTCGCTGTTGCTTTTTTGTTTTTTTCCTTTTCACTGATAAAATTCTAGTAATAATAGTATTCAGCTTGCAGAGTTATAAAAATTAGATGAGATAATGTGTGTAAATGTTAACACAGTAACACTTGACATACCATGGCTTGTAGGCACAGCATCAGGGCAGACTTCCAGGCAGCTCAGAATCTCCAGCCTGTGCCTTGTAACCAGGGACAGACAGAATGGAGGGGTGATTTTCCTCTGCTCCCCTTTCCTATGAGAGTGGGGAAATGTGCCCAGCATCCTCCCAACAGAAACAGCAAAGACATTTGTGATTGTTTAAGAAGTTCCAAGTCAAAGGGAGAGAAATCACAAGGTACCAGTGTCTGCTTTTGCCTAGTGTCCTTTTTTTATTTATTTTGTTTTGTTTTTTGTTTTGCTTTGTTTTTGGTACCAGGGATCGAACTCAGGTCCTAGCACTTGCGAGGCAGGAGGCGGCACCACTGAGCTAAATCCCCGACCCCAGTGTCCTTTTTTTAAAAAAAAAACAAACAAAAGTTTTAAAGAGTTTTGATACAGAGCTGTTTCTCCCTGGCTAATCGTAGTTAATCTTGTTGGCAATGTAATGCTCTCCCCACTGATATAGGCATCATTTGCATCCAGTGACATCAAAGGGCAGGCACAAGTCTGTAAGTCCAATTATGGGAGACTGCAGGGATGGAGGATGGAGAGGGAGGGCCTGAGCCGTGGAGGGAGGCTTGTAGATTTAAGGGCTAAAAATTAAAGTTATAGGGCCAGGGATTTAGCTCAGTGGCATCCTGCCTGCTTCGTAAGCGCAAGGTCCTGAGTTCGATTGCAGGTACCAAGAAACAAAAAGCTATAACCGTGGAGCAATAAGAGTGGAGGCTATGTTGATCCTAAAGTGAGGAAGGCAGCAGTTTGTCTCCAACTTCCTTCCAGTCCGTGTGCTAGCCATGGCCACAGAGGGCCCCCAACTTCCCTGGTGACAAGTTGTGTATGGACAAACGTCCTGGGCTGCAATCATCTTTTCTGCCACACACGTACCTGAGTGTGGAAACTTGTCCAAACCTTTGTCCAGGCCATTGTATCATCAGAAAGCTTTATTTATTCCACCTGGAATCCAGCTGTCAGGTAGCTCAGCTGGGACGTCTGGGCTGTCACGAGGACCCCCATAAAAAGCTCTTGCCCACGAGAAGTATCTAGACTTCTGTGAACTGAATGATTCATGCTGACATGGAATTGAAGCACAGAGGTAAAAATCAAAGTTTGGGGGAAGAGGTGAGCACTACTGCCAGTGTACTGGAGCACATCACGTTTTCATCTTTTGAGAAGTTTGGTATCAGGTGGATTTTTAGTTCTTCCAAGGCTGTTATATAATAAAACCAAACCGAGCTTGTGTAATTAGGGCTTTTAAATTCCTCTGACTGAAGACTTTTTTTCCTTTTGAACTGACAAACTCCTAGGGCTGCAGGGACAGTTGAGAAGTTCACGTCTCACATTTGGCCCAAAACAGAACCTCTTTACAATAGCCAATTAGATAGTCAATTAGGTGTATTGTGTGCTGTAAGGCAAGATAGAAATTTAGGAAGAATTACCACAAGTATTTGTGGGAGGGTATTGTGCGATTTAATTAGCACTTTCCATTTTGAAGGAAGTGGGAACCATACATATGTAGATTGGGTGCAGGCCTGGCCTAGATGCAGATATTTGGTGTTATTTCGGGCACATGATTTCCATCGGATACCTTCTGCAACCTTAAAGTCAACTTTAGGAGCATGCACTTTGAAGGATGCTTGAGGCATTTGTAAAGCAGGTCTTGGGAGAAAAAAAGTCCCATGACTATGGTTCATCACTGAGAGCTGGTGCGAAGTGAAACACTGAAACCCCATCCTGTCTGTCTCCGTGGAATCCAGAGGCGCAGAGCAGCTTAGTCGTAAGGGAAGCCTGTCCTGCAGTGCACTTGTGTTCCCAGCCCCTGGGTTCCGGCTGCCTCAAATCCCGGCACCTCCACAGTTAGCACTGTGACTTCAGGTAAGGGACTTGGTCCATCCCGCAGCCTGTTTCCAGTGCATTAAAAAGTGAAAAATAATTGTAGTTGCTTCAGGGGATTGAAGTGAAGGTTAGGTGAGATAAATGCTAGAAAGCATTTAGCAAATAACTTTGAGAGTGGCTTACTGTAAGCATTCAGTCAATGGTAGCTATTGTTGTAATTGTCATCTTATATCCTTCTCCCTAAGGGCTATTATCATCTGCATTTTTTTTTAATGACAAAATTGAGGCAGAAGTGACTTTAGGGCACAGTGAGGTCCTGAGTCTCCTGATTCCCAATCCTATGCCTGTCTACTCAATCTTATCTTCACATTCAGTTCAGCTGGGCTAGTAAAACTTTTTGATCTGGGAGCATAGTGGTGCATGCTTGTTATCCCAGCTCTTGGGAGACTGAGACAGGAGAATCACAAGTTCCAGGCCAGACTGTAGTTTAGCGAGACCCTGACTCAAAATAAAATAAATAAAAAGGGGGCTGGGGCTGGGGATGTCGCTCAGGGGGAGAGCAATCCTGGGTTGCATCTCCAGTAGCTTAAAGACATTTTTTTTTAAATCTTTGGAGGCAAACTCTGATGTTTTGTCCATCTGTCCTCTGTTCCGTTATGCTTCCTTTGCTGGGGGAGAGGTTGCTCGGCTGTCGTCTCAGCTGTGGACCAAGCATGGGGGAGAGATGTCTGGATGCCCATCTGTCTCTTCCCGATACCTGTGTGTGCTTGGCCACATTACTGGACTCCATTCTGAACATTAATTCACTTATTTTTAATGAAAGATAGAAACTGGGTCTTTGGATTTTTACCTGCAGATTCTCTGTGATGAGGAGGATCACTCCAAACAACAGTACTGTGAGACTATGCTTTAATTAGTGTCTTAATTATAAAACTGTGTTTGTATGTAGGTAAGATGCTGGAGTATGATGTCAGAAGCACTCGATTGCCTTACTAACTGAAATATGCCCAGTTGTTTCATTCTGTCTAGCAGTTCTACAGCTACCCAAAGCATCCTTCTTCTGAACATCAGTCTTGGCTTGTGCCTGACAAATTACATAAAAGGACTAGGAAAACATTCAGAAACATACCCCAAGGCTTAAAAAAAAAAATCCCAGAAACTAGTAAACAAGTATTCGATAGCAGAATAGTCTGCAGACTTCTGGTCTGTGTATCTTGTTCTTGAAATGCTACGTGACCAGAGCAAGTCCTTTATTTCTGTGAGATTCCCCAATGGAATAGTGGGCTTAGACAGGCTCATAGTTCCTGGTAGCTGTGAAATTTTGGAGGTGCAGGTATAGGAAGGAAAACTGCACAACATGCTTTAGCAAGCTGTTTGGGTTCTGCAGCTCAGAAACATTTTGTTGTGGAGAAGTATCTACCCGCTCGGCGTGGCTGGGCCTTGGCTCAGGCTGCCTGCTGGAGGGCCAAGGTCATCGGCTCAGGCAAGCCGCATTCAGTTTGGGGTCGACTCTGGACACCAAGGAGTCTGTTCCTTTGGCCCACAGCCTTGCTGTTGCTGTTTACCGAATGAGAGGAGTTAATTACAGAGAAACGTAATGACCTCCACCTTCACCTTGCCAGATGTGCTCCTCTCCACCAGTGGCTCAAGCTTGCACTGAGTTGCTGCTGAAACCGTGTCCGTAACTTTGTGTGGATGAGATGTAGGAAGAAAGAAAACATTTCCATTTGCCAGCAGCCACAGGTCCTGAGCCGGTGTCTGGAGCCAGCTTCTGGCAGAGTTTGCATGCACGCGTGATTGAAGAATGACTATATGTTTCCCCAGCTTGGCCTCTGATGTGCTCTCTCCACTCCCATCTAATCATGAGCTCAAGTAACTTCCGGCTTTGGAACATTAGGCCACTATTGTGGGCCCTCAGAGGCCTCTATTCATGTGTGCCATGTATTAACACAGAAAGCCATTATTGGCCATTAACACCCTAAACTGATTTTTATGGGGTGTAAGTCAGATTAGCCAGGTGGAGAAAGAATGGAGGAAAAGATCTGGAACTCAGGTCCTTGCTAAGGAGGGTCAATGTGATAGTGATGGTCTGGGGACTGCACCTGCTGAGAAAGGAGAAGGCCAGGATGGCGAACCAAGAGCCGTGTGGAGAGGGGAGGGAGGAAGTCCATGTGGTGCCATTATCCAGGGGAAATGAGGAAAGGCTGGCTTCATGAAGGTGGCATCGTTGGAGACTTTTCTGATTTGGATCCAAGGCAGTACTTGGATGCATCCCAGACAGAGAGAACTGGATGGGCAAACACTGAGAGGTGGGAAGGATGACGATGCAGGCCTGCTCAGAAGAGAAGCGTAGGATTCATGGTGTGACAGCAGCATCGGGGAAGGACTGCAGGCAAGTCCCAAGTGTTAGGCTGAGCTGCTCATCGGTGTCTTGTTGGCAGCTGTCTTCTGCCCACCACTGAGCTGCATTGTGAATGCCACTTGGTGCCCATGGAAAGCCCCTCCCCAGCCTCCCACGTGCGTCTGCCTCGCATAGTGTGGGAGTCCGGGCATTCCAGCCATGCTCAGGAAAGCTGTGCAGCGTCTTAACACGGGAATAGTTCTGTCTTTCAGCAACTTGCCAAGAAAACAGGACCCGGTTCCCAAAAGAGAAAGCAGCCAGAATATCCCATCCTAGAAAAGTCCAGGCTTTAAATTAATACCGATCACAAAATGTCTACCCTGACTGGAGACAGGAAAAGGTGCTAAGCGATCACATGGTTCTGAGTCAACTGGAATCGATCTGAAATAGAAAATAGAACACTTCTCGCTTATCACTTTGTAGACACGAGAGAAATCAAATGAAAAGTCTGTATTTCAGGTGACTGGTTTTTAAAACTAATATTCTGCTACATAGTCATCTAAAGATGCATTCACTATTAGCCAACAGCTTCTTAGGCTCAAAATAATCAGCTCATCTTTTTGCATCTACAAGTGACAGATGTGATCAGGGTATAAAGTAGTGTGCAACACCGTCTCAGCCCTAAAGGAACACATTAGACAAAAGAGTGGAATAAAATACACTGGGATGGTAAGAGGCTGCTTCTGAGAATTGGAATTATGAGCCACTACAGCTTATGGCAATGAATATGCTTCTTAATACTCTTTTGTACTTTAACGTTTTTGTTCCAGAATCATATATTATTTTGATAGTTGAGGGAGAAAGTATATTTCGAAGATTATAAGGGAAAAGGTAGGACTAGAGAAGTGAATTCCGTCGGACATTGTCTCTTATTTGACACTGATCTATCCAAACAAGGAAAGGTTAGGCCAAGGTGAGGCGAGGCTCAGCATCCCAGGCTGGGCAGTGTCCTCTAATGCTGATTTCCTCCTTCCCTGGCTCTTTTTTTGGTTCCACAGCAGCCAGCTCTGCAACTCACCTTTTATTTTTTCTTTTAACAGTTCATGGATCCTCACTCTCCCTGGTTTCCAGCACATCCTCCATTTATTCTACAGTGAGTATAAATCAGTGCTGTGTGGTGATGACCATTCTTTTACCAGATGTAGAATGAAGTCAGGATACCAAATTCAGAAGCAAATGTGAATGTTTCTCCTCCAGAGAGAACCTCCCTTATAAAGGAATCGAATAAGTAGGGAGCAAGATTTGAAATACACAAACACATATTAGTTGTAATGTGCTGACCAATGGGTCCGGAACTGGCTGCCTTTTAAAAGTGGTGATGAGTTAGGAGGTAGGACAGGCATTGGCCACCTGCTGGTACTCTCGGAAGAGAAAGTCCTTGCAACATTTTATTAACCTCTGTCTGCCTCAGTTTCTTTATCTGTAAAGTAGAATGAACAGCAGCCCCATCTAACAGCGTTGTAATGAGGGTTAAGTGTTCCGAAGGTTACATTTCATTACAATATAGACTCCTAGAGGATGAGAACTCTTGTTTTTTATTCCTAGGGTCAAGAAGTAGGTTTGAGAGAAATAAGAAAATACATATAAGCAATAAACGTAATACAACTCAGGGTAAGCACTTGATCCTTGATCCTGGATCTCATCAGAGGTAGATTTGAATGAATGTTCTAGAGACTCTCACTCCGTTGCTTCCCACCTCACCCCTCCAGCTCCAAAGTTCCTCTCTCTTCAGCTGATCGTCCTATCTGACACTTCATCACTGGGTCCTGGCTTTCTTCATAAAGGTTTTATGTATATAGTAATCTCCAGGAGGGGTTACTGAAGCCATTGTCTACTAAGAGAGCATCGAGATGGTCTTCCCACTGTCAGCTAGTGGATAAACTTAAGTTCTTTCTTCTAGCATGAAACCCTGATTCACGATTACTTGAAACGGTACTTTCTTTTTGATACTGGGGATCAAACTCGGGTCCTTGGGCTTGTAAGGCACGCGGCGGCGGAACCACTGAGCTAAATCCCCAGCCCTCAAAAGTTGGCTTTCAAACCTGCATTGGCTTCTTCAGCAGTACTTATTGGCACATTCTGTGCCGGGCTATGGACCAAGCCCCAAGGACACAGGTTAGAGAGAAAGCAGCCTGTTGCTGGAAGAGGAAGTCAGAGGCACCTGAGGGCACCTAGGGACATGGGACTGTTCTTTCTCAGGGTTGGTACAGACCAGCCTTGGTAGAAACTGCGGGCCCCACGTTTCCCCAGAGGAACCCGCAGGGCTCCAGTCACCACAGGGGCTTGGCCCCTCAGAGGCATGAAACACTGGGGACTGGATTACACAAACACAGGAAGGAGCATACCCTCGTCCTCCTCCGGGTATTCAGACCTAGGAACCCATTGTACACCCTCCCAGGGCTCCCTCAGTGCCGACTCCTGGAAGCTTTTGCAGTAAAAGCCCTGTCTTCTGGATGCTCATGAAGATGGTATTTTTGTGAAACTTGAAATTGTCCTTTCTGAGTTGATGCTAATTCAATAAACTTCCAAAAACCTAATTATAACATTTTTAAATTACAAACTTATTTGGACAGCAAGAGGAGCCCAAGGTTTAATCTCGGTTTATTGTCACCTTGGTTTGGGCTAGTATCAGTCACCTTATAACTCAGTCTCCATTTTGTCTTCCATGTCAGGAATGAGCAGGGTGATCTTGTAGGGTCCCCAGGACCTCTCTGCCCTTCCATGAGTCAGAGGGTCAGAGGTGCCCATGTACCATCCTTATTTGTGCCTTCTCTGAGAATTTAGGTTGCTTTTGCAGACTTAAAAACAAAATAACCTAACACTTGAAGATTTTCACGCCAGAGTAGTCTGCCAATTCCAAGAAAAACTGTAAGTCCAGCTAGACTGCGCTACCACCTAACAGTGATGTGTGGTCCCTCATCTATTGTTAGCCTCTGGGAAATGGTGAGGTGCAGGAGCAATGTTCCGGCTCTGTGTGAATGTTAAGGTGAGCCAGTTCTTGTTTGTCATCTGAGAAGCGGTTTTGGGAATCTCTTAAGTCACCACAGACTCAGACCAAGGAGCCTGCTTAATAACTGGGAGTCTTACAGTCTCTAATTAGAGAACAGTAGGGTCTTTCCTTAAAATCTGTATAATTCTTGGATATTTAAAAATGGTCATTCTGCCTGAGTTGCCTGCAATTTTAATTACAAATGAAAGAAAAGGCATGATGATGCTAAATGAATGCCACACAGTAGTCATGGCCAGCCCTGGAAAGAGATAGCTTCCCAGAAGCCACATCTGGTCTGAAACCTGCTTTCTTGGTTGGGAGGGAGCAGCAGTTGAGTTCCCCGAGGGAATCACTCAAAGGATGGAGCCCACAGCTCCCCATAGGATCCCCTGATCTTCAGAAGGGTAGTAATGGCCTGGGGTAGAGAGCACATGAGTTCCCCAGCTGCTGTTGGGAATGGAGAGCCACCCCTAGAGACAGGTGGGCACAGTGACAGACAGCTGGGGCTGTTAAGGCCTGGCGACAGAAGTGTTTAAAAGCAGGCTTGGTCCTGAAGCTGGGCGTGGTGGGACATGACTAAAATCCCCACACTCTGGGGGGCTAAGGCAAAAGGAGGGCAAGTTTGAGTCTAGCCTGGGTAGTTTATCAACTTAGCAGGAGCCTGTTTTTAAAGAAAAGGGCTGGCGCCGTGGTTCACAAGTTCAAGTCCAACCTGGTCAATCGAGTGACTTAGTAAGAGCCTGTCTCAAAATAAAAAAGGATGGGGATATAGCTCATTGTGAAGGCCCTGGGTTCGATCCTTAGTCCTACACACAAAAAAGTGGTAATAGCGGTAGTGTGACAGGTTGACCTGTATGAGTAGTTCTGCCTGGTAACAGGCTTCTACCAGTCTCCCAAATGCTGGATAGCTGTGATGTTCTCACAGAATTCCCCATTGGATCATACTCAGATGTCGGAGGACTTAGTTTTAGAAAGCTATAGTAAAACGGTAGGAGGATGTGCTGGTTACGATCATAGGCTATGGGGCCAGACTGCTTTGGATTCACCCAGCTCCAAAACTTACCAGCTACGACTTTGGGCAAATTACTTAACCACTCTGGGCTTCCTCATATGCAAAAACGGAAGGCAGTAGTGATAGTATTAGTACCTCAAAGGGTTGTGATAGGAATAATATATAATGACGGTAAAGTGCTTAAAATAGTCTTTGGCACATGGCAAGCATTCAGTAAATGCTAGTTATTATTACCAGATGGTAAATAACACAAGGTCAGAGGCTTGTTCACGTTCAAGGCTATATTTAATCACTCCAAACCCCTGAAAGAACACAAGCAAAACTACTTTATAAAGTTACTACAAAGATTAAATGATTTGATCCCATTCGCTGAAAAGTTATCATTGTTAGGAGCCATCCTGGAACAAGGGCACTTGAGCAGGATCAGGAGGGAGTTCAAATGGGTTCGTGGGGTGAAGGGAGATCAACAGGAAGCAGCTGCCCACCTGCTCCAGCTTGTAGTGTGGGTCTACAGGATCTAATGAATCGTACTCCTTTCTGTTCAGAACTAACAGGACTAGACACTAGAGCCAGTGTTGATTTCACAAAATTACAGGGTTATTGGTAATAAAATTAGACTAGGCAATTCTAAGGACCCAGGGACAAAAAAGGCTCCTTACCAGTGTTCACTCCCCTCCTTGGATGCCAAGTAATTTCTCCACTCCTGGGGAAAGCAGGAATGGAGGAAGGGTAAGGATAATTCCAACATTTCCAAGAAAGGGGTAGGTTCTTCTTCATGGGCCCCCACAGGAACAGGAGAAGGGGCCAGGGAAGGTTCCTTCGGCAGTAGGTTTGCCTAGCACTTGTAGGCCCCTCTCTGGGACAAGAGAGTCTTAGTTTCCTGTGGCAGACACCTGTGTCGCCATTTACCCAGAGCTAACATGGAAGGCTGTGCAATAAGAACTGTCACAGAGTTCGCTCTTAACCCCCAGAGTCATAGGTAATTGGAGGACTTGAGGCGGCCAGCAGGAATACGAAGGTCCCATTTTTCCTCACAAACGGTAGAGTGACCTGCCTGGTTGAATAGGGGCTACCAGCCCCCTCACTTTGAGGCCTTTCTGTTCCACTCAGCTCTTGCTGAAGTGAGCTAGAAGTGAGAGGAAGGGGAAAAACTGGGGCAGAGTCAGCCAAGAAGCAGTCCTTCTTGTCCTCTAGATGATGAGGTTGCCAGATAAACTATAGAATGCCTTATGAAATTTGAAGTTCAAATCAAAACCAATAATGTCTTCATGTAAGCATGTCCCCTAATATTGCAGGGGACATACTTAGTCTTTAAAAACCATGTTAATTTAGCATCCTGCATTTTTATTTGCTGGCTGTGGCTCCTGTTCTTTTCCTTGTTTACCTTCTCCTGAATACTTGACCTTATTACCATCTACACGTGGAGGCAGGGTAGCTCCTCACAACCAAAACAGTTGGAACATTGTTTTAATTCTTCCTAATTTCTTAAAATAATATGCTGGTTGTATTTGGCCTTTCCAGTGGATCGATTTAACTGAAGCAGTTTTCCCACAGAAATACACCAGAAAGAAACTAGATTTCCCTGAACATCCAAATTTGATGTTCCCCATAGATTGGACTGCTTTGTGCTTTGCTCCTAAACTTGTCTGATTTTCCTTATGATTTATTTACAGCCAGAAGAAAAGTGCCAGTCGGAGGTAAGGAACAGTTTGTTGGCTGGAGTTCCTTTTTCTCTATTACCTGATACGTCGCCGAGCTCAACCTGGAAATGGAGTCCAACAGCAGGTAACCCTGTGCCTTGTCGTCTTTAGATCCGCAAGCTGAGGCGGGAACTGGATGCCTCCCAGGAGAAGGTCTCAGCGTTGACCACCCAGCTGACAGCAAACGTAAGCACAGCCGTGGGGTGAGAGCTGCAGCCACCGGAGCGACCACCCTGCTTCTGATCCTACCGTGGGGCCCCCATCCCAGAACACTGCCGGTAGCGCTGATCAGCCTGACCTTTACCGCCTGTGTTCTTTAACATCTGTGCAGTGGGGTTGACCACCCTCACCTCGTGTGAGCTGTGTTGGCGGTATATTAAGTACTCATCAAAACATTGCTCTCCTTTCCCTTCCCTTTTGTGAACATTTTGATCCTAAGGGCACACCAAAAACAAAAAAAGGAAAGAAAAGGAGGAAAAAAAGAAATTTAGGGCTCCAGAATAAATAGCCAAGCTGCTTTGTAATTATAATATGCATGATTACATGTCCGGAAAACACTGCCAACCAGCATTCAATTCAACAAGGGTTTTGAATGCCAGCTGTGCCCCGGGCACTGTGAGTTCAGCAGCCAGCCAGTGCAGTCACTGTTATCTTAGCATTCCACCTCTGAGACTGTGGAAAGACAAAACAAATAATTTTCCTATAACATGCTTATGGCCAAGATAAGGCGAGAAGCTGTAAGGACATAAGGAGCGCCTGTCTCGGTCTTCATGGAGGGTCAGGCAGGACTTCCCAGGGGGGGTGACATCTGATGGATGTCACCTAGGAGAGGGTGCAGGGGGAGGACCGCATTCCAGCCCGAGAGAATGCTCTGTGGGAAGGCCAAGGTGAAACCTCGTGGTGCATTTGGGCTATAATTAGAAGCTGTGGCTTGGAGGCAGGAGAGAGGCGAGGCGGAAAAGAGAAGGATGTGGAGAGGAAGGAGGCATCGAAGAGACAAAGGGCAGAGCACAGAGTGGGTTGTTAGGACAGCCCTGCCTGCGCATTTGCAGCCAGCGGTGAGATCAGAGGGCCAGGGCACAGGCAGGCCTCTCCCACCCCGTCAGTGTGGCCGTTAGAGGGGCTCTGCTGCAGAGCTGGGGCCTGGCAAGGGCTGATGCTCAGAAAGCCAGAGCCTGAGTTACTAGAAGGTGCCCAGGTGCCTCTGAGACCAGGCTTCCTGCCCCCGAGTTCACAGCCCAGGCGGAACCCCATGTGACCCGGCAGGTGCTCTGAAAACGGAAAGCAACTTCAAAGGTTGCATGCGGAGTCAATACTCCAAAGTACGGCGATCATTTACCTGGAGCCTTTGCCCTGCTAATTCCCAGCTTGAGGCTGAATCTACCCAAGGAAACCATGTCTCTAGGGTCTGCATGTGGAGTACATAGCACCTTAATTACAGTTACTGCCTGGGTGATGATTCAGTCTCCTAGATCCTCTTGCATTTCGGGAAATCTTTGATTTTTTTCCCCCAAAAGCCTAACATAGTAAGTGACTGTTTTGTGATCCTTTATTTCTTTACCTCTGCCCTCAACAATGCTGCTATCAGTAGGACCTCAGAAATGGAAGTGAGAACTGAATTATGAGGCTTAGATCTTACTTAAAAAATAGCAGGGGCCAGGGATTTAGCTCAGTGGTTCCTTTGCCTGCCTTGCAAGCACAAGGTCCCGAGTTCAATCCCCAGCACCAAAAAAAAAATAGCGTAAGTGGTCTGGGGTTAGATTGTTCATCTGGATAACCAAATATGTGCTTTTGAACGCAGAACCAGCTACAGACCCAATGAGCCAGGGTCTCCAGGGTGAGACCCAAACATAGGAGGTGTGACAATAACCTCTTCCAGGTGATTCTGGGTGACTGCTAGTTAAAAGCAACATCTGTCAACTGCAGCCTTTTACTAATCGACAGGTAGTACTCAGCTCACTTCTCAGTGAACTTGGGTTAATCCCCCATCACAGCTGGCCTTACCGGGGTCCATTGAGCTCTACTCTCTCTTCCAGAGCAATCACAGTGAGATCCCTTGTATTAGTCCTGAAGTGTTTTGCTCCTCATGAAAGCCACTGAATCCAGTATTGTTTTAAAGTAAATATTTAACCTTACCGCGTACCACCGGCAGCACTAACATGTCTTATTGGCGGTCATCTTTCTCATAGAGCGGGCTGTGTTTGTTTTGCTGAGACAGACTAGTCAAAGCCACCTTCCCTCGGTGTCTCCACACCACTCATGTTTGTTTTCCCTGGGAATGTGAGAATGCACTCGATGAGAGACCACGCATGGCTCAGCCTCTCCATTAGTGTTTTCATAATCGCTCTCTGGACACAAAGGCGGGCCGCTGGCTGGCCAGCAGAATGCGATCCTCCGGCTCTGTGGAGGAGTGTGGTTTCTTTTCAGAGCTTGCAAAAACACCTGCTTAGGGGCAGTCTTCCTGGGGTCGGGTGTTTGGTTTTGTTTTTAACTGAATAGAAAGTAGGAACGCTCACAATGGAATCATGGGTGGCAATGAAATGCAGAATTGAAACCCATGGAAACTGAATCACTCGCCTTTAACTTTAACTTTAACTTTGTCATTACTCTGGTTGCTCTACAACACAAGGGTGGAGGATGTTATTTAGACATCTGTATCCTGACCCATTTCTTTAGTTCACTGTGTGATTGTCTTGAATTGAGTGGCTTTGGTTTTACCATGTTTTCCACTGCAAACAAAAGCATGCCTCTGTATTTAAAATACAGAGGCATTTTCTCCACTTTTAGTAGAGGGCAAGAATACAACCAGGAAGAGTCCTGGAGAAGTTACTCTCCTATTACAAGTGCCCCTGCTTTCTGCCAACAGTTGTTCCTAGCTGCCTTAGCCCTTTCTCATTGGTGGGACACATACTTGACACCCACAGTTTAAAGGAGGAAAGGTTGATTTTGGCCACATTTTAGTCCATGTTTGATTGGGTCCAGTGCAGAAACAAGATGGCGGAAGGACCTGGGCAGAGGAAAGCTGCTCACATCATGGCAGCCAGGAAGCAGAGAGAGAAGGGAGGAGCTGGGGGTGGAGATGTACCCTTCTGGGCCACTTCCTCCAACCACCCCACCCCCCCCCCAACGGCACAGTTAGCACATTCAGTTTAGTGCCCCCATGATCCAATCACCGACAGACAAACACATGGGGCTTTGCGGGGGACACCCCAAGTCTAAACCATAACACTAGCTTTATTTCTTAGCCTCAACCATCCCTGCTTGATGAAGTTCAGGAAACAGAGCTTCCGAGTCTCTCATCAGATGCCTCCTGAGATTGAACTGCCACTGACCCTCCCATGTGTATCCTTCCCCAGCAGTGGTGGGGACACAGGGGAGCTAGGTAGACACAGTACTGGCTTTCATCAGATGTAAGGTCTGATGGTTCATCCAGTCGGTCGCAGAGCCGGCCATACCTAGAGGACCTGCCACTATTCCATTACAGAGTTAGTTTGGAGGTCACATGATCCTAGCTAGCTAGTGGATGCTGGAAATTCCTTAGGTCTATTTGAAAAAGTATCCTTCCTTTATTCCTGGTTTGTTTGTTTGTTGTTTTGTTTTCTTTGGTTTTGGCTTTTTTTCGGTACTAGGGATTCAACCTGGGACCTTATCAATGAGCTACGGCCTCAGCCCTCTTTTTATTTTTTATTTTGAGACAGGATCTTGCTCAGTCACTAAGTTGCCCAGCCTGGGCTCAAACTTGCAATCCCCCTGCCTCAGCCTCCCAGAGTGCTGAGATTACAGGTATATACCACCACACCTGGCTGGGGCTTATTCTTGGTTTTAATGACATTATCAGGATCTCCACTCAATCACTCAACATCTCACCTTCTTACTCTTCTGCAGCCTATGGAGAAGGCCTGGTGTTGGGACACACAGTTCCTCCTTGCCCTAGAAAAGGAACTGACAGAGAAGGGGTAGCAGGACAATGCCATGTTTCTCAATTCTAAGATGCATGGCTTTTTTTTCCCATGTTGTAATGTCTTTGAAAAATGGATACATATTTTAGTTATAATTGGCCATATTTTTAAAATGTCCTAATGATGTATAAAATCAGAGTGGACTGATGTTGTGTTCTAACAGACATGTATATTGTCTGCAGGGAAGTCGTATCTCCCCAGGGGTACCAGGAGAGGTTTCTCCGGGGAGGTAGCAGATGGGCCTTGCAGTGCCTTTTATTAACCAGGATTCTAACAAGCAATGTATGCCACCCACTTGTTCGTTCATTCTGCAAACACGCTTACAATGAACCTCTAGTATGAACTTGTTGCTTGCCAAACAAAAGAACAGCCCACAGTGTAGTAGAGAACACAAACATAAACCTGCAATCATAAGGCCACATGTATTTCTAGCTACAGTCTCATAAAGCAGGTCAGAGGGGTAGTGAGCCTCTGAGAGTGAGTGTGAGGGAGCCAGCCCAGACCCGGGGTGTCACAGAGGCCTAAGCAGAGAGCTCTTAAGACAGATGCATAAAAAGGATCTCAGGCCGGAGACAAGGGCATCCTAGCCAGAGGGGGAAAGGGTGCCTAGGGGCCTGAGATGGGAAGGGTCACAGGGGCTTGGAGAAAATCCAAGCTGGTCGAACTAATCCCAAAGAGTGGTGGGGAGGGAGGTGCAAGAAGAGGCAGAAGAAGTGGGCAGGGACCAGATCAAGGGGTCCCAGGAGGGTTTCTGTCCTGAAGACCCAGCATCTCTTAGGCACTCTTGCCTCGCAGGGTAACCCAACTGAGCCCCTGCTCTCCCCCACAGGCCCACCTCGTGGCAGCCTTTGAGCAGAGTCTCGGAAACATGACCATCAGGCTCCAGAGTCTGACCATGACAGCCGAGCAGAAGGTAAGGCCTTCGCTCCCCGCTTGGAGTTCACAGCAAACCCAACTATACTGGTCTCGTTCACTTCAGATAATTATGTAGATGTTCACATACTTCTTGGACTAGTAGAGTTTAATTGCCAAGAGTAGATCTGTTGAGTAAAGACGGAGTGATGGTAAAGGTGTCGAGGGCTGGCCTTGTGGTCCCATTCCACTCCTGTGTGTTCTCATATGTCCCTCGAGATGGGTCCCACTTTGGTCCAACCTCCTGCAGGACATGAGGGCCCTGTTGGCCCCCCCCCCCCCCGCCGTGGAAGCCAAGTTGTCCTTCCCAAAGGTCTGTACAGCTCCATACAAAATGGATCTGAGGGACCAATGTGTATTTCTTGTCCTTAGGATTCAGAACTGAACGAGTTAAGAAAAACCATCGAGCTGCTAAAGAAACAGAACGCAGCTGCCCAGGCTGCCATTAATGGAGTAATTAACACTCCTGAGCTCAACTGCAAAGGTAAAGTAAGAAACAGTCTTCAGCATGATGCAACCTCCCTGCGGGGGCCGGGGCTTAGAATCCACCTCTGAATCGTAGGGCAGGTCCTGGAACACAGGCGCCTTACATGGGGTTCTTTCCGGCCTGCATGAAGATGACTAGCTCATCTTCTCTGAGATATCACAAAAGGGAAGGACAATATACTTCTCTGGGTAGAGTGTCAAAGTGTATCATAGCCCTTAACTTCATTCACACCTCCATATTTACACGCTGACACGGGAGAAACTGAAGTGGGTTCATCGGGACTCTTACTTGTCCTGGAAAACTTGTCTGAATAAATTGTTTTATCTTTAGTTGGGGTTAAAAACAACACGGATGTGCAGGTGAGTTACCTCCTGTGCTGACAGTATGAACAGTAGAAAACAGATTGAGAGTACTATTGATAGCTAGCACTTTCAGGACACTTAACCTATGTTCTAAGCACCATGCTGAGTGTTTTTGTTATTTAATTTATTATCTCAACTCTCCACAACAACCACTGTGTGTCACACTGTCTCTTTGGCATCACACTGATGAGAGCCCTGAGCTTCAGGGAGAACAGTTGCCTCCTGAGGTCAGAGAGGAGACAGAAACATCATTGGGACTAGTCCCTGAGTCTGCCTAGCTTTAACGCTGGTGCTCTTCAGGGTGTGGCTCCGGGTACCGTCCTATCCTCAGCGGTGAAGTGCAGTGAGTGTTAGCTCATGAATCCCTGTTATTTTCAGTGTCCCTGGTCCGGGTGTTGGGCCTCCTAAACCAAGTAAGGGTAGAATGGAGACAGGAATGATTAGTGAGAGCTGGTCGGACAGTGGAGGGAAGAGAATTGCAAGCAGCGGGAACAGCACTTGGAAGGGTCATGTGCTGAGATGAGCAGGCTGCTTCCATGGGGGAAAGGGGGCAAGAGCAGCCAGGAGCAAGACAGCAAAGGAGCAGGCCTGGGAGTGTGGCTCAGTGACACAGCGCTCGCCTCGTAGGACGAGACCCTGAGCTGTATCCCAGCACTGCAAAAGAGAACAAAGAAAGAAAAGGAGCAGGTAGAGGGGGCTGAGGACAAAGGTGATTACTACCTCAGTTCAGAATCCCATCTTCCTGCCTATGGGCAGCTTAGAGGCCTGGAGCTGGGGACATTGTTTGTAAGCCTCCCTTGGTTTATGTTTTGTAAGGCAGGAAGAGGTAGATGCCATTTAAGTGACCAAAGAGGACAGAGCAACACCTACTTTTACACCTAGGAGTCAGCCGTGGGTATCAGGTGGTGGACGTGTCAGTGGAGAAGAGCTAGGGATCCCCAAATGTGTGGGTTTCATTTTAAGGGCCACTGCTAGGAGAAGGGACTGGGCCCAAATCAGGAGGTGGTGACTGGCCCTGCCTCGCTCCCCAGGAAATGGCGCCTCGCAGGCCGCAGACCTCCGCATCCGTAGACAGCACTCCTCCGACAGTGTCTCCAGCATCAACAGCGCCACCAGCCACTCTAGTGTGGGCAGCAACATCGAGAGCGACTCCAAGAAGAAGAAGAGGAAGAACTGGGTGAGTGTCCACCCATGCACGCTGTGGGGACTGGTGACAGAGCCCTCAGCAGAACCAGTGTCCCCCAGAAAAAGCCTAGGTTGGCCCTTATTTAACCTCAGAACCACAAACCCTTGGAAGCAGTCCCACAGAAATGAGTGTGGATAGGTTTTTAGTAAAACCAATGTGCTCAGCAAAACACGAGGAATGATGAAACCACCACCTTGTAGTTTTTCTCTTTCATGAGATTTTCTATGACCTCCTCACCTTTCATTTCATATATGTGTCATTTCTTCCTCATCCATGTTGGCACAGAGTCCTAGAATAGCGACTCGTAAGTGCCCTTTTTTTACTTAGATCCAAAGTATTTTTTGAGCATGAATCAGTGGTTATCCCATCCTTCACCGTCATCTTTATTTATTCATATAGTTGCCTAAGATAGAGAGCATCAAACCAGGTTGTTGGGAAAAAGTTTTGACTGTGTTCTCTAAATGAAAGTTTGATAATGCTAATGTTGGAACCCCAGAATGGAGAATGTAATAGAATTGATCTCTAATGTAGTGTTTCTCCATCCACCCTCCGTCCCCATGAGCTGCTTGCTTTTCTACGTGACCCGCTCTCCTAGGAAAGTCCTACCCCTGTCCAGTTACAAGTCCTGCTGTCCAGGCTTTGGAGCACTGCCTTGTGCTGCTCTTCCTCCTGAGGGCAGGGACACCCCAAGTTATCTGATGTTAGCCATTGCTCGAAGAAGCTCCTGTGCCAGTGCTGACAGCACCGTGTTCTCATAGTGGCTTCCGTGTCTTCATCCATTCCATACCCCACTCCCTCACTCCATGTTGTCCTGGATGGGTGGCGAGGTCCAGTGATAGAGGAGTTGGAGATTTAGTAATTTGATTATTGATCATTGGCCTTGGAGCCACATTGAAGACCAGCTCAGTGTGACCTTCTCATCATTCTGATTGATTTTGTTCCTAAGTTAAATAAAATAAATAGGGTTAACTCGGGCTGCCACCTTGACTATGCATTGGATAAATATAGTCCGAGTTGATTTTTGAAGTGATAAGAGAAAATTATTTTCTATGAAAAATCTTCATTATCTCTCCCAGTCAAGTAATAAAACTTGTTTATGTTACTTTTAGACTCTTGGTTATCAGTGAAATCAGGGAGTGTGGATAATTGGCATTCTCAGCTTTTCCCAAAGCTTAATTCTGTCTAATCTTCATAATCTCCTCCTCCACCTGGCTTTTTACCAGAGGTAGGGGCAAGGATTGCGTTTGTTGACTTGTGTGCCAAATCCTCCCGTTTCTATGACTACTCTCTGGAAATGTGGTCAGAAGTAGAAAATGAGAGAGCAATCGGGTCTAGATTTTCCCGCAAGCTGGACATACAGTTAGAGATGAAACCCACTGATGGGTGAAAAATCTCATCTGTTTACCAAATGGCCCATTTTCTGAATTTTTCACCAGCTAAGAAAATCCCTAAAATATATTTTCAGAAGAAAAATAGACTTTAGGAAGAGGAAATTACTTTTTTTAAAAAACCTTTATTCAAGACGACATTATCTTTTCAGTTTAGAAAAATACATGCTCATGGCTTTCAGAGAGTTGCTTTTTTCCTTCCTTTAAGATGGAGTCTAAGTTGCCTGGGCCAGCCTGGAACTTACCATTCTCTCACCTCAGCCTCCCAAGTAGCTGACATACACATGCTCCGCCATGCCTGGCAGAGAATGCATTGAATTTATTACGTGCTTGTTAGAAAATCCCATTCTTTTTTTTTCTAATATATATATATATATATTTTTTTTTTTGGTACTGGAGATCGAACTTGAGACCTTGCACTTGCAAGGCAAGAAGCAGAACCACTGAGCTAAATCCCCAGCCCTCTAATACGGTTTTTAAAAATCTTAAATGACTGTCCATATTTTGATGAGCAAGATGCCTAATTCCCTGCCTAAAGGATCACCTTGTCTGTCCAAGGACAGCGGGCTGTCCTTGATAGCGACGGCAAGGAGCTATACAGCCCTTTGGGGGGGCCAGTACAGCCACAAGGCTGCATTGCTCAGAAAAGAAAGCAAGTCTCACCCCCACTCCAAACTCAACCACCAACCACCAAGATGACTGATAAGAGCCGGAGAAAGGGAGTAAATCAGAGAAGCTGGGCGCAACTATTTAGTGAGGCAGGGAGACCTAGATTCTAGGGACTCCAAGGCCTGCCCTTCCTTCCTCTCATGGAGGAAAGTGCCCCTGGCTGGTGAAAGCCCCCATGCCTCCTGGAGACCTCCTCTGTGCCTGGTGTTTAGTATTAGCCATGTTGCATCCGAAAAGCCCAAAGCTTTCCCTGTCACTGGCTTTCTCTGTTAAAAATTGTCTTTTTTCCTTCCCCTTCCCCATTTTTGCTTGCGTTTTCTCTGGCAGGTTAATGAGGTAAGCAAGACCAACTTTCCTATCAGATACCAAGCTAACCCATCCATTGATATGACTAACCTCGCCCTGGCACCTGGCACCCCGTCTGCGCACCCCGCTTTGTTGCTGTGTAACTCATCCTCCCGACACCCATCTGCTGAGCCAGGCTCTGTCTTGCTGTTGGCATCTAGTCTTGAACTCAGAGTAGGCATGGAATGTTACCTGAGGTCCAGTCCTCCCAGCTGTCAGCACCGATAACTCTTCTTCCCTTAATGCACTGATTCCAGAGAGCCGTGGGCGCCTGTTCTGTTGGTGGGGGGATTCGGGAGAATTAATTGCTCTTTTGTATGCATGTCTGGCTAGCCAAGGCCTAGGCATTGGTGCAGCCCCTGCAAGACTGACAGTCTTGCATATTCAGTTACGCAGCTCCTTCAAGCAAGCTTTTGGAAAGAAGAAGTCCCCTAAGTCGGCATCCTCTCATTCGGACATTGAGGAGATGACGGATTCTTCTTTGCCTTCCTCACCAAAGTTACCACACAACGGCTCCACAGGATCCACCCCATTGCTGAGGAATTCTCACTCCAACTCTCTGTAAGTCTGTCTGTTGGAGTCACCCTGTCTGTCACATGATGTCTTGAGCCCCTAAGAAGCCTCCCCAAACACACACAGGCTGTGAGTCCTGTTATGACACGCCTCCTTGGGACCTTCTTTTTCTGCTTTAAGGGGACTTTGCTTGGTTTTCCCATGTTTTGGGAATGGGAAGGTTGAGTGAGAAAGAAAACTCAGGTTTAGGTTACGGTGTTATTGGTGCCTGAGATCAGTAGCTGGCCTTAAAGTGACTTAACTTTGCATTTCTTGCCATGTCAAAGTGGGATAATGACTGTTGTCTCCTTATCCTAAGGATTGAACAAGATAAATTGATGTAAAAGAGCCAGAACCATTTTCCATGATGGGTAGGCAGTGTTAGGAGTGTTGGCAGTTTTTGCTAAAGTTCTGGTTCATTTGGGTGACAAGACTTAGACCATACCTTTCTTCTTCGATTAAAATTTGTTAACTCTTTGATGTCAGTAACTGGATCTATAAAAGCTGGAGAGATTTAGCGACAGTCCTCTTTACCAAAGGATTGTGGATTTTGTAAAGTGATTCATTCTACTGAACTTTCTATGAGATGGCAGCTTGTACGTCACTGTTCCCCGGGCTACTGGAGAAGAGCCATCTGCCCTTGCCCATCCTGCTTCCAGGGTTTCAGCTGTGCTTCAGACCTCACACAGGCCCGGAGAGGCCCTGTCTCTCACACCAAGAGCAGGAATGTCTTGGTGCAGGGGAGTGGGGACCCTGGTATCCACTCAGAAAGTGGCACACCTGGCTCCCTGCAGCAGAGGGAGGCTGCCTCTGCCCCTTTCATGTGGCTGAATTCCATGTGAGACCATGCTGTGCTGGGTTTAGACTCATCCATGATGAACAAGATCACATGTAGTCTGCAAGGAAAGCTACCAGCCAGAGGAGACAGTTCCTAGGAGGAGAGGGGATCTGGGACTGTGGTCAGAGTAGCCATTGGGTAGGGTTAGAAAGAGGAGGCTGGTGATATACATCCCAGTTTCTGGGTTGGTTAATATGGAGGCGATTGCATCTGCTTCACTGGATGCTTGAGAGAGGCAAATTAGGTAGTATGAAAGGCCTGCATCTCCCCATTCTGTCATGCTTCATTCTCAGGAGGCTCTGTCAATAGAGCCGACACTGTGTCTGCTTACCCAGCCAGCCTTCTGAGGGCAGCAGCCTGTGCTAGCGCCCAAGCCCTGCCCAGGTGGCTTCTAGATGGGTGGTGGAAGAGCAGGGAAGATGGGACTGTCCAGAGGCCAGGTCTCTGACACACCAACTGCACGGAAGATGGGAAGCAGAAGAGTGGAAACCATCCCCACCACCCCCTTGTGAAAGATGGGGCCACCCAGGCTGGCCATTGCATGGAGATGATCAGCTCCTGCACTGTTAGGGCACTGTACTAACAGGGTGGCCACAGGGACATGGACTTCTTTTACGGAAGAGGGTAACATCTTGAGGAGAGGAAGAGGAAGAGGAACTCTGAAGGGCTGGGCCTCAGTCTGTCCGTGCAGTGCCTCATGTTTTCTTGAGTGACGGATTGGATGAATAGTGGAGAACGTGGTTCCTCCTTGGTCAGCTGTGTGCCCAGCAGATAAACACAGGTCAGTCTCATACAGGCCATCCTCCATCCCAAGCCTCCCCATTCACTCATTCCCTCACAAGAAGAAGGAAGCCATGGTCTACCCTTGGTATACTGATTTGAACTCTTGTTTTGCTTAGCCAGGGTAGCAGAGCATTGTGTGCCTGGTGTCCTGCAGGGTCTAAGGAGCACGTTACCCAGGTGCCCACCCTGGGGAGAGTAGGGACTGCTGGGGACATGACACAGTGCTGCTTGCTGCCCTCCTGAGCCACCACTCAGTGACATGCACCTTTCCTAGCTCTGTTACAGCAGCATCGGGGACCAAGAGAGCTCCATCTCTGGAGCTATGTGCCTTGGGTTGGAGGTGGATGTTAAATGGAGAATCCTGAATAAAGTAGAAGAGTCAGGTAGCACAGAGGGTTAATGCTATGAATGAAAATGGTCTGGAATACAGAGTACTTGGCAGCAGCTTGAGATGGGGTGGTCAGGAAAGGCCCCTCTGAGAAGGTGACATTTCAGCTGAGGTCTTTGTATGGGAGGAACCACCACTTAGTTCTGGTCGGTAACTCTAGCTGCTGTAACAAACTCGATCGCAAGCTCAGTGGCTTTCCTTAACGCTGTTTATTTCTGCCCTGCTCCAAAACCAATGCGAATCTCCTCGTCAGCAGATAGCCCTCCCTGACCGAGTCCTCTGCTTGGCGCTCTGTTTCCAGCCAGGGCAGGCGAGAGGGGAGGAAGTGGAGGAGATCCTGCTGGAGGGTTTTATGGGCCAGGCCTGGAAGAGGTGCCTCTCCCTTCTCCCCAGTCCACTGACCAGGTCTGAGGGCTGCCCCATCTGCAGGGGAAGATGTGAAGGAGGAAAAGGGCTTTGGTGGCCAGATCCGCCTCCCAAACAGCACAAAGAACCAAGAGTGGAACCTGGCTGGATCTGTCAGAGAAAGAGGGGTGGCCAGCCTGGCTGTCCCTGGACCTCGAGGAGCAGAGTGGTAGGAAGAGGGGCTGCAGCAATAGGCAGGGCCTCAGCATGCAAAGTCTGGGCCCAAAGGAAAGTTGCTCCTGAGTTCATGTGCAGTGGGCAGGCCTGAGGGAGTCTTGGGCAGAGAGGGGAATAATCTGAAAGAGTGCTCTGTGCACAGGAATGTACAGAGCAGGAGTGAAGGGAGGGGCGTCACAGACGCAGCAGTCCCTTCCCATGGTCCATGCCGCTCTGCCTACAAGCTGTTCTTTGACCACCGCAGTCCCACTCCCTGCCTCAAGACCTCTGCCCTCACTGTGCACCTGATCTGATGCATTCCCCCTCGGGACAGTCACATCTTCAGGTCAGCGTGGCCTTATGAAGGCCTGGCCTGTCCACCTTGCATAAAGCAACACCCAGCAAAGCCCTGCACTCCCTGCCAGCCCTTTCCCCCTGCTTCCTTTTTTACCGTTGTACTTATTGCCATCTGATGTATAAATTCCCCTTGGTTTTTGGTTCTTTGTCCCTCACCCTACCCCTAAAGGCTCCATGGAAGTAGGTACCATATTGGTTTCACAGGCACCCGACTATTTGGTGATGTGAATGAACGATGGTATTGGTGAGTCCTTGATGAATTCAGTTCTGGAAGCAAAGCTGAGGGCATGTGGTGGTAGAGCAGACGTGTAGAATGAGGAAAAGAGAAGAAAAATCTTGGATGTTTCTGGATTTGCAGCTTGGGTGTCTGGGGTGGGTGGGAGACCCAGATGGGAGTGGGGTTTGAATCAGAAGCTCTGGCTTAGCCACAATAAGAATGAGATGCTCAGCAGACACTCATATGTTGGAGCCAGCTAGCCCGGAGTTTTGGGAGGCATAGATGGGGTGACACAGGCTCCTGGGTGGTACTGAAAGCCGAGGAACTGGAGTTCTCCCAGGGGATGGAGAGGAGGAGGAGGAGAGGGTCAAGGACTGAGCTCTGGGGCATGCTGATATTTGAAGTTGCAGAAGGAAGCAGAGCAGGCAGCGAGGTGGGAAGACACCCTGGAGAAGACAGAAGAAACTGCGAGGAGGAGGGAACCGCAAGGGGGCCACATGCCCTGGGCGGCCAAGTCACATGAGAAGAGCGGTGGCCATGCGCTCTGCTGTATGGGACCCTAAGCGAGGATGCTTCTCCCAAACCACTTTTCCCACAGGGACGGGGCAGGGCAGGCTCCTGGCTCCCAGTCCCTGTTCTTACATTCCACAGCCTCCGTGGACACTGGAGATGTTTGGTTTTGGTCAAGTTTTCCAAAGGGTGGGCTGAGAGAAAATGCTTCTTTCCAACCTTGAAAGGTTTGTAAGAATGTGCAAATCTAGATGTGAGAGGGAGTTCAAAGGAGAAAGCAAAGGCAGAGGAGTTGAGCTTAGAGAATTCCCCACCCCGTGGGCAAAAGGAATGGCCGCTGCGGGAAAGCTGTTTCCCACACATTTGAAATGAGGTATGCCCCCGACCCCGCCCCTGGACAAGACGGTGGGAACATGCTGGAATAAGAGCTTAGGGCCTGGAACACATACTTGCCTCAGTAAGTGGTCCACACCTCAGACAAACAGGGATTCAGTGCCTACCGGGTACCGTTCAGGAGCGTAGCAGGACCTTCCGGGTTTGATCCCAACCTTGTGCTTGAATAGTATGATGCTGGGCATGTTCATGTCTCTGTCTCAGCCTCCTCATGTTAGAAATGGCGATAGTTACAGTACTAATAAGACCAGACACTAGAAACGATGCCAGAATAAGCCTCGGGCTGGAGGAGCCAGCAGCCAAGCAGAGGGTAACCTGTGAAGGGCAATGAAACTATTGGTGATGGAGCATAGGTCTGTGTGGGGAAGGAACCAAGCAAGGGAAAGGGAATGCTTTATCTTAGACAGTAGGAGCAGGGCCAAAAAACTAGTTCAGACTGCTATAAGAGAACTTGTTTTCCCTAGCATCTCTGTGTTGTAGGGTATCCTTCTCAGGTAGCTGATTCTGGAAGGCTCCTATAACCCCAACACAAATTGACTTCATTTTAGTTTGCTTCTCTTTTGTCATAGACTATTTTCTGTTGCTATAATGGAAAGCTACAGACTGGTTGTATATAAAGACAAGAAGTTTATTTAGCTCGTGGTTCTGGCGTGAGGGCCTAGCTGGGTGGTGGAGGGCATCGAATGATGAGACGGAGCAAGCCTACTCACTTGGTCTTTCTTCCTCCTCTATAAAGACACAAATTCAGTTCCGAGCCTCATTCCCAGTGACCTCATGTAATGCTAATTACTCTCAAAGGCCCCTCCTCCAGAGATCCCTAACACATGGCTTTGGGGATGATGTTCACCGTGAGTTTGGAAGTGGACAGACACGCAGGCCGTAGCACCTGTGGAAAGTCATCGATGGGCCAAGCTCTGCAGAGTAACCCATATGGGGAAATATTGGGGGAAAGGTACAGACCATGTGATGGGGACTGGAGCAGAGTGCCTCGCCCTGGGGCGCAGGGCAGACCAGTCCGACACCCTGGGGACCCGAGCAGACTGTTCTGTGCAGGGTGTGGTTTGGCTCAGAATGGAGTGTCGCATTGGAAACTTTACCCTCCACTGAAACCAGGAAGCCCTAGTCCTCTCAGGAAAGAGCCAGTTTTTACAAGCTCCCCCTGCAAACCACTCCCCGCCTAAAAAAAAAAAGCATAGCTCTGTAGATAAAGCTTGCAAACTGCAGGACTATTCCGAGCCCAGAGCTGGGGCTGGTGGTCGAGGTGTGATGTAAATTCTAAAGGCTCTTCTGTGTCTCTGGCCCTTTTAGCCCTAAATCTATTGGCTTCAGTTCTCCTGGGCATGAAATAGGACTAACAACATTTTCAGGAGTGCCTTGCACTTTTCAAGATGTTGAAGCTGAGAAGCTCCCTTGGTCCCTGATAACTTTTAAAAATAAGAAGAGGCTCTACTCTTAAATCCAAACAGACCAGATCAGGTATTGGTCAAGAAAATAGCACCAGAAAGATTTGGTTGTTCAAGTGCTAAATTTTTCTTCTAGTTCTTCCCATCCCCAAAATACAATTGTGTCTCTTTTAATAGTTTTATAAATTGTTTTCCTTTAGCAATTAAAATGTCCACCCCCTCCCCTAGCTTTTATAGGTCAGGTTTTGTTTGGCCCTAAATCCAGCACTTGGGTCTTGGAGAGCAGGCTCATGAGGCCCCTCTGCGGTGACCACAAGCTCCCGTTGCGTTCACACATAATCAGCTTCAGCTCTGTAACTTTATGAACTTGAGGTTTGGAGGTTTTAGGGTTGTTGTTTTTTCTCCCTGTTTCCAGTCCAGTAAGCGTCAAAGCTTTCTATTCTGGATCACCCAATACCCCAGATGCTATGATCTTTACAATCCATAGCACTGTTTGTTTGTTTTTTCAATAGAACTATCTTTTTCGAACACTCCATTTCATCATGACTTTGGGGGTCTTCCATTCTGCACTGACCTGCCAGGAGTCTAGAGAGGACCCTAACTCATCAAGAAAGGAGCCCACCCCAGCCTTTTCTTCAGAAAGAGGCACTTGGCAGGGCCCCGTGGTGACCTTGAGCCCATGGAGAGCTGGAAAAGACGGACGAGCAGCCAAGCAGCTACAGGGCTGACAGATGAAACTTTGGCTTCCCTGTTACATTGTCCTCTCTGCTTTGTAAGCCCTGAAAATGTTTCTCCTTTTGCTCTGAGTGTAGGAGGCAAATCCAGTGAGATCAGAGACAGATAAACTTCTTCCCGTATCTTTAAGTTTTCTCCTTTTGGGGTCAAGACAAGTCATCCCGGGCTGTTTAACCTTGGAGTTTCTAATCAGAGCATTGACCATTCTTTGAATGGGTTTAGACCTCCAAGGCCATATGGTATCATTATAGGGCCCCAGCTGTGTACACACTGGGTGGGGTGTCAAACCCTAAAGGCTACTACTACCTTCTGCTGTCTCCCGCTTATCTCTCGATTATTGAATTTTGCAGAAAGGCACATGACAGCCATTCCGATTGCCAAATCTGCAAAGCAAGAGTGGACCACTGCTCAGGAGGGGACTGAAAGGAGATGAACTCGGAACCACTGTTGTCATTAAGTCATTAACGTTCCCTTGCCCTAGAATCTCAGAGTGCATGGATAGTGAAGCTGAGACGGTCATGCAGCTCCGGAACGAGCTGAGAGACAAGGAGATGAAGCTGACAGACATCCGCCTGGAAGCCCTCAGCTCTGCCCACCAGCTCGACCAGCTCCGGGATGCCATGAATAGGATGCAGGTAAGAGCCAGGGACAGGGCACAGACCCTAAAGACTTCAAGGAAGGAGCCCCAGGCAGCTGCTCTCTGCCAGGCCCCAGGGCTGCATTAGAATCTGGGAGCCCCCTCCGCTTTCTCTTTCAGTTATGTCCACATATTGTTCTGACTGGTCTCATGAATGTTCAAGAGTGATCCTGACCCTCCTGCTTGGAGCGTGGTCCCCTTCGCCGGCCTTCGAGCCTTCTGTGGGTCCTTTTCACTCCTCATCCACCCTGCTCTCCCCTGCTCTGCTTCTTACATTCTGCCTGGGCCAGGTGTAGCCCAGACTGCTCCCTCTGCAGGCCCTGGGCACTTCTGTATTGGACTCTTCCCCAGAGCCGAGCCTGATGCCTCTGCCCATACAAAACCTTTGCAGGTCCTGCAGTTGCAGGTCATTCCCTCCCCGGAATATGACTGTAGATTTGTTCTTACAGGCTCTCCCTCATCTGTCATGGAGAGATGATGTCCAGATCTTCTGAGATATATTTTGTATCCTCTGGCTATAACATCTTCTTTGCACACACTAAGTTCTTTATAAATATTCACAGAATGAAGGACTCCTGTGGGATGTGCTAACAGGAACCTCCCAGGAGAGCAGCGTTTCCCAAAGGTGATCCCTGGAATGCTCTTTCCATGGGAGGATCTGTGACAGGAGAGTTCCTTCATCACATGCATTTGAGAAATAAGTGCCTCTTAGATTCTCAAAGAACAGCTCATGAAAGGCTCTGAGAAGTCCTGCAGTAAAGAAACCTGGCAAACCCAGTTTCACAAACTCTTAGATTCCATGCAGCAGATGCTGGGAATGCCAAGCTTCTCAGAGCTGCTTTTCAAAGCCCAGTTCTCCGGGAAGGATGACGGTGACTGGCCTACCAGGCCCATCTGTGTATGCAGCAAAAGGCGAATCTCTGTGCATGTCACTTACCTCGGCTGGGCAAGACCCCTAGTTTCTGCAGGGAATTTTAGATCTTCCTTTTTCCTATTACATCCACTTACCAAGAGTTTCCACCTCTACTCTTTGCAGAGTGAAATCGAGAAGCTCAAAGCTGAGAATGACCGGCTGAAGTTGGAGTCTCAGGGCAGCGGCTGCAGCCGGGCACCCTCCCAGGCATCCATCTCCGTGTCCCCTCGCCAGTCGCTGGGCCTCTCCCAGCACAGCCTGAACCTCACCGAGTCGACCAGCCTGGGTGAGTGGCCCGCGGAGCTGGGGCAGGCTGGGACCTGCAGTTGGCACTCTGGTCTCGGGGCAGGAGCCCAGGAGAAAAGGATCAGCAGATGACACAGAGGCAGCAGGCGTGTGTGCGCTGGGGTGTGTGTGCCTGGGTGTGCGTCTGCTACCAACATAAGCCCAGCCGCGAGAGCACTCTCATGCTTTGCTCCAGCACCCCAGTTCTCCAAGCCGTGTGCTTGGAACCCCGCCCACCACGCTGAGTTCTGTTTGATCCATTTTAAGAGCTGACCCGCTAGCAGAATGCTGCATACTCCTCCCCATGGTAGCAGGTCCCCTGTCGGGCAGTGGCTTGGCCCGTGACCTTCCTGCCTTCAGGATGGATTCCATCATCAGCCAACATGAGCTGGGTTTTCTTTGTGAGCATATCGAGGCTGATGCTTTTCTTTTTTATCCATGATGCTGCTGTTGCTATTATTGTTTTGGTTGAGTCTCCCTCACACATCCATTCAGCAAGATGCATCGTCAGCCTGCTGGCTCCTTGGTTGGTCCACTGTGGTTTTTTGTGATCATCCTCCATTCTGCCCTCCTCCCCACCCCCTCCCCTGCACCCCCACACCTGGTTTGTCCCGCTGCTGGGCCCACCGGCAGCGGGGGCGTCAGGAAGCCGGCTTTGCTGTCCCCATGTGCCTAAGGCTGTTGATGTTTTCCATTCGCAGACATGTTGCTGGATGACACTGGTGAATGCTCGGCTCGGAAGGAAGGAGGCAGGCATGTTAAGATAGTTGTCAGCTTTCAGGAGGAAATGAAGTGGAAGGAGGTTAGTTGGATCCCTCTCCCTGCTCTGCCTGACCCTTCCCCAGGTAGAACTAACTAGCTTAGTGATTTCTTCGTGATACTGTTTCACCTGAGGTGACTTGGAAATCCTACTAATACTTTTCTGAATACAGTAGTCCCCCCTTACTCATCTGAGACACAGTCCCAGACCCCAGCAGATGCCTGAACCATCGGATAGCACCAACCCAACATGTGTGATGTCTTTTCCTATGTACATATCTGTGATAAAATTGAGTGTGTAAATGTGGAACTTTAAGAGATTAACAACAACTAATAACAAAATAGAACAATTGGAACATACTGCGATGTCCGAGGCCACTAAAACACGGAAAGAGAAACCTTGGGTAAGCGGAGACTACTGTAGCCCTCATCCCAGCAGCCATTTGACGGTTGAGGTGAACGGATGGCATTTCCTTTATTCTTGAATTGAGAGTCTAATAAAGCGCACTAAAAACAGCCCCGCGTCACACTTTCCTGCAATTAACAGGCCACTAGCATCCTTCCAGATGGCTTTTCTGAATTTAATTTATTCCCCACGCATTTCCAAGGCAGCTTAAGCGCATTTAGTTCATAAGGCACAGGAATACGATGACTGATCCCACCTGGTCAAGAGCACCAGGCTGTGGGCAGTGGGCACCTAGAGAGGCCCACAACTCCAGGGCTCCCACGGAGGGCTGACTGGAGCTGGTGGGGCGCCCCATGTTCCCAAGCCCGTGCTGAGCTCCACAGTAGATATGGGGTTGTGTCTTAGTCAGAGATTAAATCCCAACATGCTCTCGGTTACCTTGGCTTAATAAGTAAGTGGGAGGTGCCCACCCCAGTCATGATTTCAAGTCCCTTCCTATTTTTGGTTTTTTATTTCTTAGCATTTCTAGCCAATATGCTAGTATCCTTTCCAGCAGCTGAGGAACCTGCAATGCCCATAGGCGCAGTGTCTAAAAAAAAAGCCAGGCTTTTCTCTGCCACAATTTCCCCCGTGTGGCTAGCTTGTTAGCCTCGCTGAAGGGAGAAGTCCAGAATTTGGGGCTTTCGTGTCATCTAGCCTAGAAAGAGACACCACATAGCTCCAGTCTCAGAACCTGGCTAAAGGAGTGGTGGGCTGTCGGGGAGAATTCCACTCCCGCAGTGTTCTTGCAGTAAATGTGGGAGACACCTGGGAATGTCACCAATTCTAGGGATCATCAGCATGAACCCATAGAGCTTGCATTTTTCCAAAGTTTCAAACAGTTGCAACAGGTCTGGGTCACTACAGCATCCGGGTGAGATTGGCTGACCAGGAGTTATTAGCTGCATCTTACCGCTGCAAAACTCAGGACTCAAATATCACTTATTGGAGGCCGCAGAGCAAGCCCAGGTCAGGTCACCTTGCTAAAAGGCTGGTGCTCTTTTCTTTGCTGAGTTTGCTTACCTGCTGTATGCCTCTACCTCCCTTCCCACCCCACCCTTTCCTAACCTTGGCCTTATGAGCATGGGAGATACTCAAAAAATCAGCAGAATGGAATGTTCTGTCCGCTTGTCAATGATCGATGTGTAGGCAGAGATGCAAAAGAAGTAGAAAAAAGGATTACTTTTTGGCAGTCTTCCCAGAGCTTCACTCGTTTTCTAAGTTGAACATGTTTTAACTTTTAATAAGAAGAAAATAATAAATGTTACTTAAAAGCCTCCCAGAAGAGAAAAGTAAAGTTAAAATGGAAATAAAAACACATTATGTTCTGAAATTCAAAATCTAGCAAGGACCCAAACTTGATATATATGTAAAAAAAAAAAGACAGAAATAGCCCAAACTAAATATAAGCAGAATAACTCATTATATATGAGTTATAAATATATACAGAAGATATCATTATGTATGAGTTGTGTCCAGAACCTGTGAAGCAGCATAAGCTCTGAGCCAGGTGATTTAATCACTGAAGACTTCCTGGAAGAGGTGAGTTCTTAAACCAGGCTTGGCAGAGGTCAGAGAGGATTCCAGACAACGGGTGTCTGACCTGTGCACTGTGCAAGGTATGCACTTAACAGAGGGTTCCAGGTTCCAGGCAAGATGTTTTTGTCTTCCTGGCCCATTGCAGTTTTAGCAGAAGAGTGAGGAAAGGTCTTAAGGGAATTGCATTCCGTCTAAGTTATGCCTGGTGTTGAAACAAGTAGGGCTTTCATTCCCCTCTCAGCACTGGTGGACGCCTAAGGCAGCCTGAGTCCTCTGCTGAACCGTGTCAGAAGGATCCGCTGTTTTTCACCTGCCTGCATTTCCTTGCCCTTAGGATTCCAGGCCACACCTCTTTCTGATCGGCTGCATTGGTGTTAGTGGCAAGACCAAGTGGGATGTGCTGGACGGGGTGGTTAGACGGCTCTTCAAAGTAAGTGCCAAGGAGGAAGCTGCAGTGTGGGTCCGGGCCGGGCCAGGCCGGGCTGGGGAGGGAGGGAGGAGGTGGCTCCGTCCTGAACTTGGCCATGCGTCTGTCCTGCCCCTCCTTCGTGTCCTTGTGTAGCTGGCTCTGAAGGGCGGTGGGCAGTACAGACTGATGGGCCAGGCTTTGCTGCCTGCTCTCGGCAGTGGCTCACCAGCTCATGAGTGGCATTTGGCCGGCGATTCCAGCCTCTCCCATGAACTGCTCATGTCCCCTTTCCCCTTTAACCCTATAATTGTATGCTTTAAATCTGCTTTGGAGTCTGTCACCTGTGGCCAGAGCTGAGAAGCACATTTCAGTGCTTCATTTTGGGGGCAGAGGTTGGCATATTCCACTGTGCCCAGAACCCTGTGCCGATGCTTCGGACACTCTGGTTTGTGCTACAGAGGACAGTCATGTCCCTCAATGACCACTGTCAAGGGTGCTGGCGATGATCTTGCTCATCTTGTCAGTCACAGTGCATTGGGTGCCCGCCACAGGGGCAACGACTAATAAATACCAAGGCAAACCTTGGAATGAAAGGTGATTTGGAAGAAGCTTTTGGGTCCTTTTCTCCATTTTCTTTGTTTGAGTGGCCACAAAGACTTTATCGAATTATTGAAAATGCTGGCATGTAAGTATTCACATACGTACATAAAATAGTTACATGGAAGCCTCAGGTCACTGGGATACACACGTGAGCCTGGCAGAAAGCAGACTGGACCCGGCCTGGAGCTGCAGGGCCTGGGAAATCAGGTGTCCTCCCAGAGATCTGGAGAATGGGGGAGAAGAGGAATGGTCACTTTAGGGGTTTGGCGATGCTTAGGGCTCTAACTGAAGAGCCCCTTACCAGTCTTCAGGACACAGGTGCCTGTCCTTTTCTCTGTTGTCCTATAGTACATCAGCAGCCATCGGTGTTCATTCATCAGATCGCCTGAATAGTCGTAGTGGCCCACTTTTCTGCACCTGCAACCTTGCTGAGCCCTTTATTTCCCCCATTTAAAGATGAGGAAAGGGAAGCACAAGGCCCTGAGTTCGATCCCCGGTACCAAAAAAAAAAAAAGGTTGAGGAAAGGGAGACTCAGGTTAGGGCACTGATCTAAGAAGTAGACCGAGGGTCTAGTATAGTTAGTCTGACATTAAAACATGACCCATTCACCGTTGACTCTGTAGCAAGTAGATCCAGGTGGCTTCACATGGAGAAAATTCTGTTCCTTGACCAAAAATTGTTCTCTATTTTGGCCAGCAGGGCTCTAGAAATGTGACCAGGCAAGAGACATGAATGCCTTAGGACAGAACAATTCTGCTACCTCTGCCAAAACCTTACTTAGCTTTGCCTTTAAGTCTGCCATGGATTTGAAAGACAACACAGTTGTGCTGGTGCATGCCTGTAATCCCAGCTACTCAGGAGGCTGAGGCGGGAGGATGCCAAGTCTGAGGCCAGCTTGGACAACTTAGCAATACTAAGTCTCAAAACGAAAAAAGGGCTGGGATGTAGCTGAGTGGTAGAGAACCCCTGGGCTTGATCCCTAATGCTGCAAAGAAGAGAGAAAGACAGCCAGCCAGACAGAGAACAGCCTGGGTTTCTGGGGCATCGCTGTGGTACCTAAGGAACTAGACCTTTCTGTCCTGCTCCTGGGACTCACCTCCAATGTTATCTGGGTACCTGCGCCTTAGTTCATGCCCACTGACCCAAAGCCGTCTGGTCATCCACAAGGGAACACTGTGCAAATACAGCGCACATTTTCCCCTTAACAGTGGTACAACTGCTTTTGTCTAGCAGCCTTGGGTGTTGCTGTTAGTTATCAGCATGGTCTTTTACTCTGAAGAGGCCGGTGGAGAGATTTCCTGTCAGAATTACATTTTCAGGAATTTCCCAGCACCCTCGCACGCCCTGATGCCTGCAAGACTTTGGCTGAACTTAGGAAAAGAAGCCTCGCCTTTCCATGCTTGGCTCCTCCAGACTAAACGTTTGCAGTCTTGTTGGGGGTTTATTTTTTCCCCCCTCAGCCCTAACCAGATGCATTTGTATTGGAAGAGACCTGGGATGGATACCCAGGCTCGATCCCCATAGAGTCGGTGCTCTGCTCTCGTCCCAGGGCTGAGCTGACACAGGGGGTGTGGTCGCAAATCACCCCCTGACAGCGAGAGTCGCAGGCAGCCTTGTGCCACCTCCTTTACTTCTCCCAGGAGTACATCATCCACGTGGACCCCGTGAGCCAGCTGGGGCTGAATTCAGACAGTGTCCTCGGCTACAGCATTGGGGAAATCAAGCGAAGCAACGGTTCTGAGACCCCCGAGCTCCTCCCCTGCGGCTACCTGGTGGGCGAGAACACTACCGTCTCCGTGAGCGTCAGAGGTACCTGGCTGGTGGTGGCAGAGGGTGGGGCTTTCTGGAATCATGTAGGAGCTTTGTGACGTGGCCCAGGAAATTGTGGACGTGGTTCTGTTTGTGCGTGTCTATGTAGGTTGGTTATTTTTTTTCTCCTTCGACCACAATTAACTCTTACCTAAGAAAGTTGAATGTCTTTAGCTTTTTTAACTACCATCAGAAACAAATCAGTTTATTGTTGAAATTAAATATCAAAAGGTCTCATTAGCCTATGACTGTGAGATGATGAAACCTTCATAACCCCATTGAAATGGTTCTTGCTAGCAAGCTTTGGATGCAGTCCCGCTCTGTAGATGAGGAAACCACGACGTGCCATAGGCTACGAGCTACCACTCGGAGAATCCTAACAAATTGGTGGACCTCCTGCCCGTGCTTGGTGCTCCCTAAGCTTCCGCTGCCTCCCTGCCCAAGGATGTGAAGCCCCAGGCCAAAGTGTGGTCCACAGAACCCTGAGTTTCAAAGTTGCACAAGGGGGAAAAATACTTCACAGCCAAATGCGTATGGGAAACAGCGTCATTATCCTCACTTGGATTTGGGGCCAGGGGCTTATGTACACTGGTCCTTTAATATCCCGGCTCCTGCTGTTAAAAAGCCTCTGTAACCCAGTCTGCTCCACATATGTGTGGCTGCAAGACGCATTTATTTCCGTGTGTTATGAGCCACCTGAGTTACAGACTGCTGAACACTGAACTAGGCGCAGCCTTGGATTATGGCATTTCTTACAACTTCGGAAGGCACTGATTCGTCTGCAGTTTTTACTGTGATTTTGGAGTTGTTCCATAGGAATTTTATTTTCTGGCTGGTAGGTTTTCCAAAAGCAGCCCAGTCTGCCCATCGGCAGGGATCAAGATCCCATTTTGCTGATTACAAGTGGTGCATTGCAGCAGAGGCCTCACCCAGGCCTGCTGGCAAGTGAAATTCCACAGTCGTGCCCTTGAACTACAAGTGACAGAAACCAACTCAAATATAGCTGTATCATTAGGCGACATGTACGGTATAGGCTCAGAGAGCTGGGGAATCTAGGAGTCTCGATCTAGGTACTTGAACAGTCCTTAAAGGACAGCCTTTTACATCCAGGCTCACACTGCATTTCACCCATGCTGCCAGACATGCGTTGTTCCTCACTCATTTTCCAGGTGGGCATTACAAGCCCTGAGAGGTAAAAAACAATGACAGTGACGCCATTCTCTGCCTCTGGAGGAACGTGCCACTCTCCCCGGAGCCTGGTCCTTATTTGCTGGCTGTCAGCACATCAAGTTTGAGCATCTGGAGGAATCAGCTCAGGTTTATATTTCACTGACACCTGACTCTTGTGTTTTCCTGTGATGCTTGAAACTTAGGCTTTTAGAGCACTCAAAACCACCCGAGAGTTTGAGCTGAAAGAGATCTGTGGGCTGCAGCGATTCACCTCAGTGGAACCAGAGGGAGGGGGTGACTTCTCATTCCAAGATCGCCACTCCCTGAGGGTATTAGGGCTAAAGAGCGAAGGAAACAGCAGCACATATGCAGAGAGTATCTTAGTAATTAGTCCCTGTGGTTATTAGTAGTAGTATCGTTATTAAATTTAGATTCCGAACCCCCCATTACACACTTTGCATCCAGCTTTGAGCCAGGAGAGACTAGATTGACTTCAACAGTAGAAAGATCTTTGGCCTGTCCCAGCAGATAAGGCATTTGGGGGCTTTCATCATGGACAGTATGGAGCAGTCAGTGCTATCTATGTTAGTGCTATCTATAATCTTGGTTGGGGGAGAATTAGATATCAGTACAAAAATGTATTCGTGGACATTTGCTTACAGTGAGTAATTTTGGATAAGGAAGATGCTCTTATGAAACAGAATTGAAGCCCCCTAGAAGGGGATTTTTTAAATAGAATTACCTTAGGTTCTGGACAGCGGACCCTTGAATGGATCTTCTGTTGAGAATAATAACCAGAAAATGGCTCTTTTTTAAAGCCAACAACCCTGGTTCAGGAAGTGGTCCCAGGCAGGACAGGGGAAGGATAAATTCCCTCTGGATGATCTTGAGGATCAGACTTCTCCATATGCAACATCTCCGCCCAGATTTGCCAGCATTCACTTTCCAAAATCAAATGAATCCCTCTTGTCCGGTTCCTCACTGTCGTCTAAGTGTGGGGGGCAGGGGTGTCTGGTGGGCGGGAGAGAACAGAGGAAGAGGCAGTATTGTTGAAGCTGAGAAAGTTACAAGATGGGCCAGAAGCGCAAGTCACTGATGCCCGGGGTGGTGGCTTCCTGGAGTGGTGGCCATGTGTACCTGCAGGGGCAGCCACTTGAGGTGAGTGTGCTGCCAGGGAAAGGATCACCTCGGGCTCGGCAGTCCCAGTTAGGCGCGTACAGAGCTACCCTTTCTACCGGGCTTCAAACACGTCCTGTCTCTCAAACACAGGGCTCGCGGAAAACAGCCTGGACTCGCTGGTGTTCGAGTCCTTGATCCCCAAGCCCATCCTGCAGCGCTACGTGTCCCTGCTGGTAGAGCACCGGCGGATCATCCTCTCTGGCCCCAGCGGCACAGGCAAAACCTACCTGGCCAACCGGCTGTCAGAGTACGTGGTGCTTCGAGAGGGACGGGAGCTGACAGATGGGGTTATCGCCACCTTCAACGTGGACCATAAATCCAGCAAGGTGAGGAGGACACTCTGAGGCTGCTGCATGTTGATCCCTTTCAGAACCAAGAAGCTACTTCTGTCCTGATAGGAAAAGAGCGTTTCCTACAAGCTCCCCTGTATAAAAAGCCAGGGGATGGAGGATGGAATGGGGTGAGCAGAAAATGCTTAACTCAGATCTTCCCATCCGTGGGGAAATTTATCTAGTTCATTTACGATGCTCAGGCTACGAGTTCTTGAAGCTCCCCCAGACTTGTCCACCTCCATTTACCAAGAATTCATTATGTGCCTATCACGTGTTACTGTTTCTCCAAAACAAAACGTTTTGTGACACAGCAATAACTCAATACCAATCATAACAACAAACACCTCACATTTTCACTGTGGGCAGTGAAAATAGGACAGCACACTAGCCTTCTCACAGTGGTCCCTTCAAGGGAGCAGTTGTCACTGTCCCCATTTTACAAGGGAAGAGACAGGCTTGAGGCAGACTGGTGCCCCAGTTCACTCAGATGGTACTAAGTGGCGAAGCTGGACTTGGGTCCAGAGCCCTGCAGTCAGCAAGTAGGCTGCATCCTGCTCCCCAGCAAGCAGTGGACACCAGGGTGGATGGCACTGGACCCGGCCCAGCCCGGGCTGTGAAGTGTCCTCCGAGCCCTGTTCTGCAGTGAGTGTAGCTGGGTCACTCATTCTGGCTGGCTTTGTGCAGAGGCACCAGAGAGCCGTAAGCAAATAGGAAGGGGTCCCCTGCCTTGCGAGTCCTCGACCTCACTCCCAGGTGCTCTGTTTCCATAGCTTGTGTGGGGCCCAGACCCTGCACCATGCGCAGGCTCCCCGTGTGGGTTTGGAGTAAGGGCAGGACAGCGAGAGGCGCTCTTAGCTGAAAAGCCTCAGCAGATGGGTCGGGAGGGGACCCAGGTGTGTAGCTGCCATGGCTGCCCAGGCTGGATTTCAGTCCCCTGCATTGCCCTGGCCAGGGCGCTCTCCCAGCTGTGCCCCACTGGCACAGTGGGGAAGGGCAGAGCAAGGGCACCATGGGTTGGGGAGCCAGGAGCTCCATGCTTGTTGGTGCCTGGGGCCAAGAACCTTCAGCGCAGAGGGATGAAAGAAGGAGTAAGAAGCTGAGCTTTCTCTGTTACTCACAAAATCCACATTTTGACTTAAAAGGGAGGCCTGGGGTGAGTGTGTACGTATAGGAGATAGAGGAGGCACCACCCTGTGAGCAGTGAGACCAGGGCCTAGAACAGGACGGTGTGGTGAAGACGCACCAGGACAGGCTCCCGAGTCTGACCCCGCCCACTGCGGGCCCACAGTGCAGTGCTAGGCCCGTCACCTGACCCATGTGCTGCAGCAGCTTCTCCATCTCTACCGTGGACCCTTCACGAGCTTATGCGGCTGCAGAAGGTCACATGTCTGTGCCCACATGATGCTGGCCGCTGCTAACATGCAGCCATTCTGGCTTCTCCGGCATGTCCTCAACTCATCCTTCAGCCTTTTCCGCCCTGGTACCCCTTCTCTCCCTCTTCTCGCTCCGCATCTCCTGATGAGTGTCCCTGACCCCAGCTGGACCGCATTCCAGTCCCAGCTGAGCCAAGGCCCCGCCTGCCTGCAGGGTCACCCTCGAAGCCTGCCCTTCCCGGGACATTGCAAGGTCCCCTGGGCACACCCTCTCATCTCACCCGGTGGGGATCGAGTGTCTGCCCAGCACTAGTCAGCGTTGCTCATGTGAGCCGGGGCCTCATGCACTGAATTATCGAAGCCTGCTATGTAAGCAGCTCCTCGGCGGGTGCTGTGGGGATGTAGAGGTGGAGGAGGGACCCAGCAGGAACCCGCTGGGAGGCTGCCGTAATAAGGAATAACAAGCAGTCATTTTTCTAGAGAAGTGTCAGAACAGGGATTTTAAAATGTGCCTGTGCAGCAGTTGTCTGCTTGGTACTGGAAGGACTCGCGGCCTTACCTGTGCAGGGTGTGGGCCTTCTCATCATCCCCTGCCCACCCAGCCTCCCCTGAGCACCAAGCCAATGGCCTGTAGCAGGCGGTGCTCGGATTGTGCCCTCAGCGTGGCACCTTCGATGAAGGTGCATGAAGGCCCCAAGCACGAGCGTCTCCCTAGAAACACATTCACCAGCTTGCTCTCCTGCCCTCCCGGCCTCCGTAGGAACTGCGCCAGTACCTGTCCAACCTTGCCGACCAGTGCAACAGCGAGAACAATGCGGTGGACATGCCCCTCGTCATCATCCTGGACAACCTGCACCACGTCAGCTCCCTGGGCGAGATCTTCAACGGGCTGCTCAACTGCAAGTACCATAAATGGTAAGGCCCCTTTCAGAACTCAGGTGCCCAGGGGAGGGCGTGGCTGTCTGAGGAATTGCTGGGCATGCAGGCGGCCAGGCCAGCCAGTAGTGAAGTGCTGCAGACCGACCGGCAGGGCGGAGAGGGGAGGTATCCGGCCCACCTGCCTCAACACTGGTGCCACCGGCTGCTGCAGTGAGCACCTTGCTCTCTAGCTGGCCTGTGACTCATGCCCATCTCGTCCTCTGTCCCCACAGCCCTTACATCATTGGCACAATGAACCAGGCTACCTCTTCTACTCCCAACCTGCAGCTGCATCATAACTTCAGGTAGGTGTCACCCCCTGTCCAGGGAGCTCAGGGACTCGTGTGACCTCACGCAGCCAGGCAGTGGTGGAGCTGGAACTGGAGCCCAGATCTCAGCTCCCGGTGCAGCTGGAGCAGTGTCAGAGGCCACCGTGGAGGGCTCTAGGCTCCTTGCCGCCCCTGCAGGTTCTCAGTGGTCCATCTCTGTCCCACAGGAGCATGAGAATCTCTGTCCCACGTGAACATGAACAGCGGCAGCTCTTTCTCATGAATGTCCCCACAGAGCTGGGTCCCCGTGTATGAGCCTGGCTCCCTCATAGCAGGAAGTGGGGACCATCGAGCCCTTCTTCTGAGCTTGTGTACATGCTAGCCTTGGAATGGCTCAGCGCCTGCACCCTGCCCTGCACCCCAGCTGACTCAGCCTCCCCTGCCTGAGCCTGTAGATGAGGCTGAGAATTCAGCTCCTAGGCTGGGACCCCCAGGTGGTATTCACCAGCCTCTATGGATCTGCTAGAAGTGAATTATCACTATCTGAACAACGTCAGCTCCTCTAGGCTGCTGAGCACATGGCTCCCCTCTCACCCTGGGCTTGTCCACACTTTCTGCTAACGGTCACACAGGCTCATCCTTCTCATGCCCTGTGGTGCTGGTGGTCTCCTGGCACACTGCAGTACACGGTCACAATCATTTCCTAGCAAGTGTGTCTGGGTGTGGCTCTGCCCCCTGCAGGCCACGCTGGGCACTGTAGATGCTCCTCAGGTCACAGAGCCTCAGGAAGGAAGCCCTTCCCGGGCTGCCTCTGTCTACATCTGGAAAGCTCCCAAAGTGGGCAGGGCAGGTCTGAGCCCTGGCCACCCAGAGCTCTGGCAGTTCCCCTCAGCCCACACTCTCCCACGCCGCTGCAAAGGCTGCAGTGGCCTCCCACTCCACACCCATGCCGGCCTTTCCCTAAATGGCTGCTCCTTCCTGTCTCGCCACCAAGATAGCCTCTCCCGATTCCCTGAGGCTTTGTCCTGTTTCATTTCTCCATCGCCTTTCTCCTTAATCCTCTAACCTGTGAGCTTGAGGGAGCCCAGGGTTGTGTCAAAGCTGCCCTTAGAGTTCCACAGCCCAGCTCAAGGCTCGCCATCAGCACAAGAGGCAGTGCCTCTCACTGGGTAGAGCTCAGAGTCTGGCAGGTTCTCATTGAGGCCCTTCTGTTTACCAGCCGTGTGACCCCAGATAAGCCACATGACCTGTCAGGGCCCGGAGCTTTCTACCTGTAAGATGAGGATGCTGCTGTCCATGTCGTAGGGTGCTGTGAGGAGCTGTGAGCTCACTCAGTGTCCAGTGGTGAGGGCAGTGCTGCAGTGAGCCCTGTTTTAGTTGTAGCATATACACTTCCTGTTTGTTGAGGGTAGCTGTCGTTTGCTGACTGTCGCTGTTGAAAAGTGACCCTCCTGTCCCTGACCTCCCCCAGGTGGGTGCTCTGTGCCAACCACACAGAGCCAGTGAAGGGTTTCCTCGGCCGCTTCCTGAGGAGGAAGCTCATGGAGACGGAGATCAGTGGGCGGGTGCGGAATGTGGAGCTGGTCAAGATCATCGACTGGATCCCCAAGGTCTGGCATCACCTCAACCGCTTCCTGGAGGCTCACAGCTCCTCTGACGTCACCATCGGTAGGTGGGAGGCTGGCGGATAGAACAGGCTGATGGGAGGGCGGCAATGCCAGGACAGCACAGCATAGGGCACAAGACTGTCCTCAGGGTAGGGCTGGACCCAAGACCTCAGTGATGAGGAGAGGAGAGGTGTCCTGCCCAGGCTGATGCAGAGACCACTGGCTCAGAGATGAGCCCACCACCCAAGGCCTGCCTAGACCTACACCATGCTGTTATATTGGCTTGGCTTAGAAAAAAAGTTTGGTCAGCATTTCTGAAGGGTAGGGATTTAGCAGAGAGAGATCCTCAGTCATGCACCCATCCTGGCACCAGTTCAGCCTCCCTCCCCTTCTTTCTTGTGGCCTTTACCATGTGCCCATGCTTCCTGGCACTGCAGTCACAGTGTGCGTCTACCACGTATCCCTTTCTTCCCACTTCTCCTTGTCTCTCGAGCATTCCCTGTCGGGGCAGTTTTTAAAATGATCTTTAAAGGTTGAAAATCCATCACACATAAGTGTTCCTTGTTTGCTTAACCAGTTCTGTTCTCTTGGACACGGAGTGTGTTTCCATTCTTCAAATCAAGGTTGCCAATACCACAGAGCACATCTTCTCCATGAAGCCTTCCCCTCTCAGGGGTCTCCTGACTGAGGGCTTTGTTGTCCCCATCAGAGCCCCCACCAGCAGCTTCTGCCACCAGCCCTGCCAGTGCTTAGAAACTCCGGGAACCCTCCTGTGAGCGCTGCTCAGGCCATGGCTTCTCTGGACACCCACCCCACCCGCTGCTTGGCTCTGATCTCTTTTTCCTGTGGTCCCTAGGCCCCCGGCTCTTCCTGTCATGCCCCATCGACGTGGATGGCTCAAGAGTGTGGTTCACTGACTTGTGGAACTACTCCATCATCCCCTACCTCCTAGAAGCCGTCAGAGAAGGACTCCAGGTGAGAGGCATGGCCCTCTGGCTCCCTCAGGCTGCCTGGGTGTGGGAGGCACAAGATGAGTGGCTCCATCACCTCCTCCAGGCGTCTGCAGGTCCTGGCTCGGCCGCTCAGTAGCTCTGTAATCCCAAGCAAGTTGTTTAGCCTCCCTGTGCCTCAGTCTCCTCCTCCATACAAGGGGATGACAATTCTGCTGCAAGGAGTGAATGAAATCATGGCTGTACAGTGCTCGGCACAGTAAGTGCAGGAGAAATGGATGAACCCCTTCACATAGGAAATGTGCAAAGTGCTTCTAGTTTTTTTTTATTCTTATTTTTATTAGTAGATGTGTGCAGTATACAATGATTACATTCATCGTGGTGAGTTGGTAGCTGCACAGAACATACCTTTTTTTTGGTACGGGGGAATCAAACTCAGCACCTTGCACTTGCGAGGCAGGCGGTGGAACCACTGAGCTAAAGCCCCAGCCCTAGAACATATCTTAATTCTTTTTATGTCCCCTTCCTTCTCTCCTTCCGTTTCTTGGTCACAGATTGCAAAGTATGCTTGCAGCTGCTATTTGGTTCAAGCCCCAGATTAGTTTTATGACTTAGGCTGAGAGTTCTTTATTTATTTATTTTGATCTATCTTTCACATTGAGGCTCAGAGAGAATACGTGACTTGCCCAAGGTCACAAAAGTGAAGGTAGAACGACCTAGAATTTGAATCTGTGCCTTCCAGTTGAACTCCATCCGGGTGCTTAGCCTTCCCCTCAACCCTAGGCATGTGCTACCTGATGTCAGGACCCCTCCCAGGTGGTCTGGGGCTCACAAGTCTCCAACTCCCTCCTGCTTGGCAGCAGCTGGAAAGCACAAAATCTTCACATCTTGCTTAGCTCAGGGTTTAAACAGGAGCTTGCTGTTTCACTGCACTGTGGCACAGTTACGCTGTTCAGCTTAGAAGTTCTCTCAGTGCCTGCAGTGAGTGGTTAACAGGCACCATGCACAGAGGGTCGATGCCACACCCAGCTCTGCAGCCAGGTTCCCCAGGGCTGCCTTGCTTCCTCCAGCCCTGGGCAGTGGCAGGACTATGGAGGGTGCAGGGGTGGGGTGCACCCAGAGCATGTGTGTGACAGTGCAAGGTAAAGGCTTCCATCAGGGTTTGTTGTTGCCAAACATTTGGCTCATTCTGGAGAAGATTGGACTTTGTAGTGGCGTTCATGGTCTTCAGAGGCATTCAGGGCAAAAAGAACTTGGAAGAGAAACCACAGTACTTCTTAGGACTGGTGTTTCATTGAAGGAGAGATTGTACATGGCTCTATCAAGAGACCATGCTGAGACAGGTGTCGCATGAAGGCAGAGAGATACAAATGGGCAGTCACTGCCCTATTCGAAATCGTTGCTTAGCAGCACTCTACCAAATGTTGCTTTTGTTAATGGAGTCTCTTAGGACCACACCCAAATAGCTGCCTGGCCACTCCCCTTTCCTTTGGCCAACAGAAGCAGTTCCCACCGCCAGTTTTAGTCTGTTTCATTCCAAAGCTCCTCTCCTCTTTTATTTTTCTTCCAGTACTGAGGATTGAACCCAGAGCCTTCATAATGAGCTATAGCCCTGGTCCTTTTCTTTCTCTCTTCCTCTTCTCTCCTCTCCCCTCTCCTCCCTCCCCTTCACTTTTGTTTCTATTGGTACATTTTAGATATACATAATGATATTCATCGTAGGGAATTTGTACCTGTACATGGCATATCTTGCTTCCTCTTTTTTCCCATTCCCCTTCCCTCCCTTGAACCCTCTTCCCCTCCTTATTTATAAAAGCTTTGTTTCCATTTTGCCTTCTGTTCTTTTTTTCTTGTCTTTCCTTCCTTTCCCCCTTCCCCTTCCCCTTCCTTCATTCCCCTTTTCATTTGAACATTTTCTTCCCATTTCCCAATATCTGTTATACATTTTGATCCTTATTTATGCTTTCAGTTTCTCACACCGGAGGAACAGTGTGATTTATTTCACTGAAGAGTATGGTCTCAAGGTGCATCTATTTACCTAGAAACATCTCAAGCTTATCCTTTATGGCAGAGCAGTACTCCAAAAAACAAAACAAAACATATCTTCTTTATCCATTCATCAGTTGATGGGCATTTGTGCTGTTTCCAAGATTTAGTTATTACCAAACTGTGCTGCTATGACCATGGCTGTGCTTATATCACTGTGGTATGAAGCTTTTAATTCTTTTGGGAAGATACTAAGAAGGGGAATACCTGGGTCAAATGGAACCTCTGCTTATAGTTTTTTGAGCCATCTCCACACTGATATCCACAGTGCTTGCACCAGTCTACACTCCCACCAACAGTGGAAAAGGGTTCCTTTTTCCCCATAGCCCCGCCAACATTTGTTATTGGATGATTTCTTGATAGCAGCCATTCTTTGTGGGGTGAGGTGGAATCTCTGTGTTGTTTTCATCTGCATCTCTCGAATGACCAGTGATCTTGAACACTTTTTCATATATTTATTTGCCATTTCTACTTCTTCATCTGAGAAGTATCTTTTTATTTCAGATGCCCATTTTTGGACTGGTTCTTTAATTTTGGGGGTCTGATTTTTTTGAGTTCTTTATATGTTCTGGATAGTAGTCCTTTGTCTGAGGAACAGCTGGAAAAATTTTTTTTCCCATTCTGTGAGTTGTCTCTTCTCTCTACTGTTAATTTCTTTTGCTATTCCCCTTTTCCTCACCCAGTGGAGATGCCAGGCTCCTTCCCTGCCTTGGGAAAATGAATGCCTGCCTGCCTGTCTGCCTGCCTGTCTGTCTGCCTGTCTGCCTGTCTGCCTGCCTGCCTGCCTGCCTGCCTGCCTGCCTGCCTGCCTGCCTGCCT